AATACTATACACTAAAATACTATACACTAAAATACTATACACTACACTTCTATACACTAAAATACTATACACTTAAATACTATACACTACACTGCTATACACTAAAATACTATACACTAAAATACTATACACTACGCTGCGAAACACTAAAATACTATACATTACACTGCGAAACACTAAAATACTATACACTAAAATACTATACACTACACTGTGAAACACTAAAATACTAAACACTAAAATACTATACACTACACTGTGAAACACTAAAATACTAAACGCTAAAATACTAAACACAAATACTATACACTAAAATACTAAACACTAAAATACTATACACTACACTGCAAAACACTAAAATACTAAACACTAAAATACTAAACACTAAAATACTATACACTACATTACTACACACTAAAATACTATACACTACATTACTACACACTAAAATACTATACACTACATACCTGTCAACCCGTACGACGTTGCACAGGGAAATTGAGTTGTCTCTCTCATCATCACGGTGGCTAAGAGATGTTAACTACCTCGCGTGCTATGCAGGAGGTCGTGGGTTCGATCCAGACCCTGACGCCTGCTGCTGTATATTTGGAATCTGCGTGTCTCTCTCTCATCATCATCACGGTGGCTATGAGATGTTAACTACCTCGCTAGGTATACAGGAGGTCGTGGGTTCGATCCACACCCTGACGCCTGCTGCTGTATGTTTGTAATCTGCGTGTCTCTTTCTCTCCCCGTGGTCGCGTGGATTTTTCTCCGGGTTCCTCCGTTTTTTCCCCTCCAACATTTAGAATCGACGTCACGCGTCTAGAGTGTTTGGCTGACTTCAATTCCCACACGATGATGATGATGATAAGCCACTTTCGTTGAGCTCTCATTTGTGACGGCCAGGTCGAATTCTGAAAAGGAAAGAGTTACACAGCTTAGCGGGGCCTCACCTCCTAAAATATACGAACAAAGTGTCGCATTTCAGTTAATTCTGAGCACGCATCTCACCATGTAGCTCGCCTTTGAGCTTGACAGTTTTGGTTCGTGATTCGAAGCTTTCGTGACTGCAGGTTCTTTCGGTAAAGTCACGTGGGTAGAAAAATAAAAATAAATCACGACGTTTCGATCGCAACACAAGCGGTCGTCCTCAGGCGGAAAAAAGATAATTCAGCGGTGGAAACTGCTGCTGAATCAGCAGCAGTCCCACGGCTGGTTTATTTTCTACCTACGTGACTTTACCGAAAGAACCAGAGAGGAGAGTTTCTGTTCCGCTTTTCCTTCATTATTGACCGGAGCTTTCTCAAGTTCCCACTCAGGGCCCATCCATTTAGTACGCGCCCTAAGGGGCCATCCATTTAGTACGCGCCCTAAGGGCCCATCCATTTAGTACGCGCCCTAAGGGCCCATCCATTTAGTACGCGCCCTAAGGGGCCATCCATATAGTACGCGCTCTAAAGGGGCCATCCATATAGTACGCGCCCTAAGGGGCCATCCATATAGTACGCGCCCTAAGAGGCCATCCATATAGTACGCGCCCTAAGAGGCCATCCATATAGTACGCGCCCTAAGAGGCCATCCATATAGTACGCGCCCTAAAGGGGCCATCCATATAGTACGCGCCCTAAAGGGGCCATCCATATAGTACGCGCCCTAAGGGGCCATCCATATAGTACGCGCCCTAAGGGGCCATCCATATAGTACGCGCCCTAAAGGGCCATCCATTTAGTGCCCCTCCCTAAGGGGCCATCCATATAGGACGCGCCCTAAGAGGCCATCCATATAGTACGTGCCCTAAAGGGGCCATCCATATAGTACGCGCCCTAAGGGGCCATCCATATAGTACGCGCCCTAAGGGGCTATCCATATAGTACGCGCCCTAAGGGGCCGTCCATTTAGTACGCGCCCTAAGGGGCCATCCATATAGTACACGCCCTAAGGGGCCATCCATTTAGTACGTGCCCTAAGGGGCCATACATTTAGTACGCGCCCTAAGGGGCCATCCATTTAGTACGCGCCCTAAGGGGCCATCCATTTAGTACGCGCCCTAAGGGGCCATCCATATAGCACGCGCCTTAAGGGGCCATCCATATAGTACGCGCCCTAAGGGGCCATCCATTTAGTAGGTATGCATGGGGGGGTGGGGGAGGGGTGAAGCCTCGATAATAATTGATCTACATCGGCCTTCAGATGAGTTCGATAGTCCGGCGGTGGACTATGTTTGCTTAAACACGTTAATGTTATAGGAATAGGTTTTACCCTTTTAACTGGCACAAAAACTGACACCTTTATTCAAGGCATCATGTTTGCAATAACCACAACACAAGCAGTCAAAATGCACGCGCACACACACACACACGCGCGCGCACAAATATCTCCCGTATAGCCTTAACAGACTGTAGGGGCAAGTGCTGTTAGCGAGCACCTATGAAGGCCGGAACGGTACCCGAGGGGGTGGGTGGCCAGCACCACGCCCGACCGCCTTTGTCTCCCCAGTGGCGATGTTTACTACACACCACACCAGGTACTCATTTGAGGCTGAGTCGACCTAGGGGAGGCCCAGGACCGGTTCAGATAATCGTCACTGGTGTTGGCCGTGAGCGGGAATCGAACCCGGGTCGCCAGGTTCATAGCGTAGCGCGCTAACCGCTACACTACCGCTCCCCACACGTGCACACACATGCACGCACGTACACAGACACACACACGCCCACGCACGCACACACACACGCACGTACACAGAGATGCACACACACATACACGCACGCACACACACACGCACACACATGCACGCACACAGACGCACGCACACAGACACGCACACACGAAAGCGAACACACACGCGCACACACGAAAGCGAACACGCACACACACACAGCACACACACACACGTACGCGCACACACTTGTCTCCTTTCACGATCTAAACAAAAACACGCTGGCGACTTGAGTGGCGCAAACACGACGAAGAAAAACCCAACCCACGCCGCCGGCTTCGTGCGAAGCGACATTCCTCGCAATCCCGGGGACGCCTGCCCCTGGGCCGCCGGTTCCCTCCACACACTCAAGCGGGGGGAGCCGATCATGTCAACATCATCCTCACGTCGGCAGACCCGCGGACATGCGATTCACGCGACTTCCCGTGATCCACAATCGTGCCATCGGCTCACCGCTACCAAGTTACCAAAGAATCCATTCGGAACTCTCTCAGAGCATCGCCCCCCCCCCATCCCACTGCCCCCGTCCACCTGCCCCCCCCCCATCCCCCTGCCAACCCCCATACCGACCCCAACATCCCCACCCCCTGGCCACTCCCCATCCCTCTGCCCACCCCCCCCCCATCTCCATCCCCAGTCTAATGATGTAGATGCTTACCCCGAGCCCTCATTACTCTGATAGTGGCATTGTCTTTTGAGCTGTGTGACGCCTTTTGACGTCCTCTGGTCTAGCACCAATTGAGACGAGGCTCAAAAGAAAGCCGTCTCTGGTGTGGACCAATCAGTTTCAAGGACAATGTCATAATATATTATCAGAGTATGTTGTTTGTTTGCATTTTGACCACAAGTATTGTGGTTAATGCCCACGTGATTCGTTGCAGAAAAGGTTTCAGTTTTGTTGGCAGAAAGAAGGGGAAAACCCCCTATTCTTACACAGCAGGCGTCAGGGTCGGGATCGAATCCACGACCTCCTGTATACCAGGCGAGGGAGTCAACATCTGTGGTGCTGAAGAAGCAGTCGTCAATTATCGGCGCGTTTGATCATCACGCGGCAATTTTATTGATTGGCTGTGTCGGGTGGAGGAGGGCCCGAAGGCACACACACTCACGCACGCGAGCGCACACAATAGATCTTGACCCCAAAAAAAATAAATTACGAATCCTCTTCTCGGGCAGCATCTTTGCTCCGGAGGGCACGGGACGGATGCGCGTTTGGTTTTTCTCGAGCGAGACCAATAACTCGTCTCTCGGCAGCGCACGAGGAATCAATGCAACTGCAGTGGCCTTAAATTTTTAATTTAAAGCTTTCGTGACTGCAAGGATTCATATTCTTCGTTCTTTCGGTAAAGTCACCACGTAGAAGGTAAACAATATTGTTTCCCTTCAATATTGTTTCCCTTCTACGTGGTGACTTTACCGAAAGAACCAAGACTATGCCGTGGCTTTCTTAGGAAATGTGCCCTCATGGACATGACCTCCGAACAAGTGACCTATTGACATTTCACAACGAAAATAGATGAACGCTGTTCGAACATTGCAGAGGGCAGTAGTGATAATAACGATGTGATTCAGTTCACCCGGGGGGGGGGGGGGGAATTCCTCACCGAGTCTCAATGCTCTTATTAAAGTAGGGGTTTGTGGTGGGATTTTTGCACACACAGAGAGTTGTAATAGGTTGTTATTCTTTTCTGGAAGATTTGCTGGTTTATCCCAGGATGTTTCCGTTGCGCGTCGTCGCTTTAAGATGTTTCTCTGTTCAAATTTTGTTTGTCGCGGTTGCAACCGACTTAAGAGCCGCATGGCTCACAGGGCTGCACACCGAATGAATGAAACTTGAACTTGTTTGGCCATGAAGAAGTCCATCGGCGATGAAGGCTCAGGGCTTACGCGCGGGCGGGGAAGCCGGAGCGGGAGGAAACTTCCAGCACCGCGGCCGCTGCATCAACTAAATATAAAACTAAACTCTTTGAGTTTGATCAGGTTAGGGCCCGATTTTTAAGACGCGAACCTGGCCGTCGCAAATGGCAAGCTCAACGAAGTGGCTCATCACCATCGCGTGGAAATTCATAGCGGCAGCCAAACGCTCCCAAGGGCGCGCCGTCGAATCTAAACGTGGAGGGGCAGGAACGGGAGGACCCGACCCGGATGAAAAATCCACGCGACCACGGGCACAGCATGGAACCTCCAAATATACGGCAGCAGCAGGCGTCGGGGTCGGGATCGAACCCGCGACCTCCTGTATACCAGGCGAGGTGGTCAACATCTCCTAGCCACCGTGATGATGATGAGGGAGAGAGACACGCAGATTCCAAATATACGGCAGCAGGCGTCGGGGTCGGGATCGAACCCGCGACCTCCTGCGCACCAGGCGAGGTCGGTAACATCTCCTAGCCACCGTGGCGCCCTATACAGAGGGGGTGATGACCCTCCGGGCTCCGCACGGATAGATTCAAGAATCCGTTGTTGCGCCGCCATGTCCCGGCCACCCCGCACCCAACCGTGCGCTCGCGGAAGGAGAATTAACGACTAGCGGTTTAAGAAACCGTCAATTGTGCATCAGATAATTGAATAATTCGTTGTTAACGTTCTGCGATTTGATCCGGTCGTAGCGGCCGGGTTCCCAGCTGCATCACAGGAAGAGGCCACCTGCGTACAGACACAAAGACAAAGATCCCCCACATAGCCTTAACAGATTGTTGGTAGCAAGTGCTGTTAGCGAGCGGCTATGAAGGCCAGAACAGTACACGAGTGTGCGTGCGTGTACGTCTTTGTGCGTGTGTGTTGGTCTTTGTGTGCATGCGTGTGTGTTTGGGGTGTAACGGTAGTGTAGCGGTTAGCGCATTGCGCTACGAAACCTGGTGACCCGAGTTCGATTCCCGCTCATGGCCAATATCAGTGACGATTATATTTATCTGAACTGGTCCTGGGCCTCCCCTGGCTCGACTCAGACTCAAATGAGACCTGGTGCGGTGTGATCTTCGCCACTGGGGAGACAAAGGCGGTCGGGTGTGGTGTTGGCCGCCCACCCCATCGTGTGCAATGTCGGCATTCATAGGCGCTGCTCACAAACAGCACTTGCCCACACAAGTCTGTTGAGACGATATGGGAGATCTTTGTCTGTGTGTGTGGCAATGTACCTGTGACCTCCAGGCTGACCCCGGTTATGTAGCGACTGTCATCGGATGCCAGGAAGGCACAGACGTCTGCTACTTCTGTAAAGACACAGTTGAGAACACACACACTTCAACACATACATTCACACAAAAACACCTCTACCAACAACAACAAAAGCCGCCATTCGCCAATACGTGGCGGTGACATCACCACGGCGCTTGTGCCAGGCGTTCGCTGGCATGGGGGTCACGTGACAGACTCGGGCGGCATGGGTTGACTGACTGAGATGACTGGCAGACAACCACAAACATACACCTCGACACACAAACACAAAGATCCCCCGTTTAGCCTTCAGGAAGTTTCGGAGCAAGTGCTGTTCGCGAGTAGCACCTATGAAGGCCGGCACGGCACACGAGCGGTTGGGTGGCAAGCACCACGCCCGGCCGCCTTTGTCTCCCCAGTGGCGATGTACTGACTGTGAGCGGGAATCGAACTCGGGTCAGAGGTTTTCATAGCGGCAGCGTGATCACCGCTACACCACCGCTCCCCAGCTCAACACACACCTCACACCATGCTAAACCACGCCACTCTACACCATCACTCCACATATGCAAGTGTTCATGTGGAACTTCTTTCACAGTGTATGTTTTCAACCGCGCTAATCGGAGGTGCGGGGGAAGGACAACAAACCAAACAAGAAGCAGTTCTTGAGAAATTAGTTTTCAATCAAGATGATTTAAAAGTGCGTAACTCCAGTAGCTTCCTCATATCGGAAGGGAAGAGCGTTCCAGACGGGCGCAGAAACGCTTCTGAAAGCGTGCGATGCACAACACTGCGTCACACCTCGCTACACCACACCGCATCAAACCACACCGCAACACACCACACCGCACCACATTACGTCACACCACGCTACACCGCACCACACCACACTGTGTCACACCACGCTACACCGCACCACACCACACTGTGTCACACCACGCTACACCGCACCACACCGCGTCACACCACGCTACACCGCACCACACCACACTGTGTCACACCATACTGCACCACACCACACTGTCACACCACGCTACACCACACCACACTGTGTCACACAACGCTACACTGCACCACACCACACTGTGTCACACCACGCTACACTGCACCGCACCACATCACACCACGCTACACTGCACCACGTCACACCATGCTACACGGCATCACACCACACTGCGTCACACCTCGCTACACCACACCACACCGCGTCACGCTACACTGCACCGCACCACGTCACCATGCTACACCGCATCACACCGCGTCACACCACGCTACACCACACCACGTCACACCATGCTGCACCACACCACACTGTCACACCACGCTACACCACACCACGCCGCGTCACACCATGCTACACCGCACCGCACGTCACACCACGCTACACCGTATCACACTGTGTCACACCATGCTGCACCACACCACACCACGTCACACCATGCTACACCACACCACGTCACACCATGCTGCACCACACCACACCACGTCACACCATGCTACAGCGCACCACACCACGTCACACCATGCTACACCGCATCACACTGTGTCACACCACGCTACACCGCATCACACTGTCACACCACGCTACACCGCATCACACTGTGTCACACCACGCTACACCGCACGTTACACCATGCTACACCGCATCACACTGTGTCACACCACGCTACAGCGCACCGCACCACGTCACACCATGCTACACCGCATCACACTGTGTCACACCATGCTGCACCACACCACACTGTGTCACACCACGCTACACCGCATCACACTGTGTCACACCATGCTACACCACACCACACTGTGTCACACCACGCTACACCACATCACACTGTGTCACACAATGCTACACCACACCACACTGTGTCACACCACGCTACACCGCATCACACTGTGTCACACCATGCTACACCACACCACACTGTGTCACACCACGCTACACCGCATCACACTGTGTCACACCATGCTACACCACACCACACTGTGTCACACCACGCTACACCACATCACACTGTGTCACACCATGCTACACCACACCACACTGTGTCACACCACGCTACACCACATCACACTGTGTCACACCATGCTGCACCGCATCACACTGTGTCACACGGGCTGGCATCACCTTCAGGCGTCCCCATGCGTCTCATTGGCACAGCGGCGATGAGCTGAAACAGCATAGAGGGGGGTTACTCAGAGACAACTACGAGAACACCGCTCACTCACCCACACTCACCCACATCATCACCCACACTCACCCACACTCACCCACATCATCACCCACACTCAACCACACTCACCCACATCATCACCCACACTCACCCACACTCACCCACACTCACCCACACTCACCCACATCATCACCCACACTCACCCACACTCACCCACATCATCACCCACACTCACCCACACTCACCCACACTCACCCACATCATCACCCACACTCATCCACACTCACCCACATCATCACCCACACTCACCCACACTCACCCACATCATCACCCACATCATCACCCACACTCACCCACACTCACCCACATCATCACCCACACTCAACCACACTCACCCACATCATCACCCACACTCACCCACACTCACCCACACTCACCCACACTCACCCACATCATCACCCACACTCACCCACACTCACCCACATCATCACCCACACTCACCCACACTCACCCACACTCACCCACATCATCACCCACACTCATCCACACTCACCCACATCATCACCCACACTCACCCACACTCACCCACATCATCACCCACATCATCACCCACACTCACCCACACTCACCCACATCATCACCCACACTCAACCACACTCACCCACATCATCACCCACACTCACCCACACTCACCCATACACTCACCCACATCATCACCCACATCATCACCCACACTCATCCACACTCACCCACACTCACCCACACTCGCCCACATCATCACCCACACTCACCCACATCATCACCCACACTCACCCACACTCACCCACACTCACCCACACTCACCCACATCATCACCCACACTCACCCACACTCAGCCACATCATCACCCACACTCACCCACATCACCACCCACACTCACCCACATCATCACCCACACTCACCCACATCATCACCCACACTCACCCACATCACCACCCACACTCAACCACACTCACCCACATCATCACCCACACTCACCCACATCATCACCCACACTCACCCACACACCCATATCATCACCCACACTCACCCACACTCACCCACACTCACCTACATCATCACCCACACTCACCCACACTCACCCACACTCACCCACATCATCACCCACACTCACCCACATCATCACCCACACTCACCCACACTCACCCACATCATCACCCACACACACCCACATCATCACCCACACTCACCCACACTCACCCACACTCACCCACATCATCACCCACACTCACCCACATCATCACCCACACTCACGCACATCATCACCCACACTCACCCACATCATCACCCACACTCACCCACACACACCCACATCATCACCCACACTCACCCACACTCACCCACACTCACCCACATCATCACCCACACTCACCCACACTCACCCACATCATCACCCACATCATCACCCACACTCACCCACACTCACCCACATCATCACCCACACTCACCCACATCATCACCCACACTCACCCACACTCACGCACATCATCACCCACACTCAACCACACTCACGCACATCATCACCCACACTCACCCACACTCACCCACATCATCACCCACACTCACCCACACTCACCCACATCATCACCCACACTCACCCACACACACCCACACTCACCCACATCATCACCCACACACCCACTCACCCACATCATCACCCACACTCACGCACATCATCACCCACACTCACCCACACTCACCCACACTCACGCACATCATCACCCACACTCACCCACACTCACGCACATCATCATCCACACTCACCCACACTCACCCACACTCACCCACACTCACCCACACTCACGCACATCATCACCCACACTCACGCACATCATCACCCACACTCACCCACACTCACCCACACTCACCCACATCATCACCCACACTCACGCACATCATCATCCACACTCACCCACACTCACCCACACTCACCCACACTCACGCACATCATCACCCACACTCAACCACACTCACGCACATCATCACCCACACTCACCCACACTCACCCACACTCACGCACATCATCACCCACACTCAACCACACTCACGCACATCATCACCCACACTCACCCACACTCACCCACACTCACCCACACTCACCCACATCATCACCCACACTCACCCACACACACCCACACTCACCCACATCATCACCCACACTCACCCACTCACCCACATCATCACCCACACTCACGCACATCATCACCCACACTCACCCACACTCACCCACACTCACGCACATCATCACCCACACTCACCCACACTCACCCACACTCACGCACATCATCACCCACACTCACCCACACTCACCCACACTCACGCACATCATCACCCACACTCACGCACATCATCACCCACACTCACCCACACTCACCCACACTCACCCACACTCACCCACATCATCACCCACACTCACCCACACTCACCCACACTCACGCACATCATCACCCACACTCAACCACACTCACGCACATCATCACCCACACTCACCCACACTCACCCACACTCACCCACATCATCACCCACACTCACCCACACACACCCACACTCACCCACTCACCCACATCATCACCCACACTCACGCACATCATCACCCACACTCACCCACACTCACCCACACTCACGCACATCATCACCCACACTCACCCACACTCACCCACACTCACGCACATCATCACCCACACTCACCCACACTCACCCACACTCACGCACATCATCACCCACACTCACGCACATCATCACCCACACTCACCCACACTCACCCACACTCACCCACATCATCACCCACACTCACGCACATCATCACCCACACTCACCCACACTCACCCACACTCACGCACATCATCACCCACACTCACGCACATCATCACCTACACTCAGCCACATCATCACCCACACTCAACCACACTCACGCACATCATCACCCACACTCACCCACACTCACCCACACTCACCCACATCATCACCCACACTCACCCACACACACCCACACTCACCCACTCACCCACATCATCACCCACACTCACGCACATCATCACCCACACTCACCCACACTCACCCACACTCACGCACATCATCACCCACACTCACCCACACTCACCCACACTCACGCACATCATCACCCACACTCACCCACACTCACCCACACTCACGCACATCATCACCCACACTCACGCACATCATCACCCACACTCACCCACACTCACCCACACTCACCCACATCATCACCCACACTCACGCACATCATCACCCACACTCACCCACACTCACCCACACTCACGCACATCATCACCCACACTCACGCACATCATCACCTACACTCAGCCACATCATCACCCACACTCACCCACACTCACGCACATCATCACCCACACTCACCCACATCATCATCCACACTCACCCACATCATCATCCACACTCACCCACATAAGCCCCATGAAGTGTCAAAGGCTCGCTGACAGGTCACGTAACAGACCCAGGTGCCATGGGTTGACTGACTGAGATGACCTGCAGAGGAACCAGCTGTGCTCCCTACTTTGCTTTAACCACCCGGCGCTCCGCTCGTTGTTGTGAGCGTCGCTCCTCCGCCCTCCGCTATCGCTAGAGGGCGACTGCCACCGACTGCCCAGCAGCGTCCTTCACGAGCCTCCTCCTCCACAGAGGCCGATCTCGACACCGCCGGTACCGGTCATCGGCAGGTCCACTCAGCTGCACGTCCTCCTGTACCACGTCAGCTCCGCCTCTTCTCCAGCCCGTGCCGTGCGCGTTGCAGCCCCCTCGATCCGGCAACACCGCCAGCGCGAGCCGTCGATGTGTCAAGTGCGCGGTTGGCACGCTTCCCGCTAGCATGGAATGAAACGGACCTTTTCATTCAATTCTCTGCCACCACTGATCCCTCCCCCCCCTCCCTCCACCCGACACCCGACACCCCGCTGATGGCCGGGGGCCCCGGATGGCTACAAAACGGGCCCTTCACCTTCTCCATGACCTTTGGAGGAATCCCGGCAGTCATGGGCGTCTCGATGAACCCGGGCAACACCGCGTTGCAGCGGATCCCAAACCTGTCACGGGGACAGAGACGGAGACGACGGATCGAAGACAAAGATCCTGCCACCCAGCCCATGCAGCCTGAACAGACTGTTGGGGAAAGTGCTTTTAGTAGCGGGTAGCACCTATGAAGGCCGGCACGGCACACGAGGGGGTTCCGGGTGGGCAGCACCAAGGCAGGCCCGCCTTTGTCTCCCCAGTGGCGATGTTTACACACCGCAGTGGGTACTCATTTGTGTGGCTGAGTCGACCTAGGGGAGACCCACGACCGGTTTTAGGTAATCGCCGCTGGTTGTTGGTCGTGAGGGGGAATTGAACTCAGGTTGCGGGGTTTGTAGCGCAGCGCCGCTGACTTGACCACGGGGGTCTGGGATAGATCGCAGGGATGGAGACAGAGACAAATCACAATCACGGAGATGGATCGCAATCACTGAGATGGATCACAATCACAGAGACGGACCACAATCACAGAGACGGATCACAGTCACAAAGACGGATCACAATCACAGAGACGGATCACAATCACAGAGACGGATCACAATCATGGAGACGGATCACAATCACAGAGACGGATCACAATCACAGACATGGATCACGATCACAGACATGGATCACAATCACGGAGACGGATCACAATCACAGAGACGGATCACAATCACAGAGACAGATCACAAACACAGAGACGGATCAATCACAGACATGGATCACAAACATAGAGACGGATCACAATCACAGAGACAGATCACAACTACAGAGATGGATCACAATCACAGAGACGGATCACAATCAGAGAGACAGATCACAAACACAGAGACGGATCAATCACAGAGATGGATCACAACTACAGAGACGGATCACAATCACAGAGTTAGATCACAACTACAGAGATGGATCACAATCACGGAGACGGATCACAATCACAGAGACGGATCACAATCACAGAGACAGATCACAAACACAGAGACGGATCAATCACAGAGATGGATCACAACTACAGAGACGGATCACAATCACAGAGTTAGATCACAACTACAGAGATGGATCACAATCACAGAGACGGATCACAATCAGAGAGGATCACAACCCACAGATCACCTACAGCGACGTTTCTCGATAATATATGATGGCATTGTCCTTGAAACTGATTGGTCCACACCAGAGACATCTTTCTTTTGAGCCTCGTCTCAATTGGTGCTCGACCAGATGACGCCAAAAGGCGTACTATTATCATAGTATGTTTTTTGTTTGCATTTTGACTGCAGGTATTGTCGTTAATGCAGTAACGTGAATCCTCGTAAAAAAGGTTTCAAGTTTTGTAGCCGGAAAAAAGGGGAAAATCGCTATTATAATATTTTGCTACTGGCAAGGGCGGTCTAATGACGTTAGTTTTAGTAGTTTATTGCGACTCACCGCGCGAGCTCCTTGGCGGTCGACTTGGTTAAGCCCTCCACGCCGGCCTTGGACGCGGAGTAGTTACACTGGCCCATGTTGCCGACCTGTGAGCCGCACGCACACGGCGCACACTCAAAACACGATCAAAACGGCGCGCGTCCGTGTGTGTGTGCGTGTGCGCGCATGCGTCTGTGTGTGTGTGTGCGTGTGTCTGTGTGTGTGTGTGTCTGTATGTGTGCGTGTGTCTGTGTGTGTCTGTGTGTGTGTGTCTGTGTCTGTGTGTGCATGTGCGTGCGTCCGTGTGTGTGTGCGTGTGTCTGTGGGCAGCGGTGGTGTAGCGGTTAGCGCTACGCTGCGCTATGAACCCGGCGACCCGAGTTCGATTCTCGCTCACGGCCAACACCGGTGACGATTATCTCAACCGGTCCTGGGCCTCCCCTAGGTCGACTCAGCCTTAAATGAGTACCCGGTGCGGTGTGTAGTAAACATCGCCACTGGGGGGAGACAAAGGAGGCCGGGCGTGGCGCTGGCCACCCAACCCCCTCGTGTGCCGTGCCGGCCTTCATAGGTGCTGCTCGCTAACAGCACTTGCCCCAACAGTCTGTCAAGGCTATACGGGGCATCTTTGTCTCTGTGCAGTCTGTGTGTGTGTGTGTGTGCCTGTGCACACAGGTCTGGCACAGGCGTGCCGTGGTGACGTCACCGTCACTTAGTCGCGAATTGCGTGTATTGGTATCGGTGTGTGTGCCTGTGTGCGCGTGTGCCTGTGTGCGCGTGTGCCTGTGTGCGCGTGTGCCTGTGTGCGCGTGTGCCTGTGTGCGCGTGTGCCTGTGTGCGCGTGTGCCTGTGTGCGCGTGTGCCTGTGTGCGCGTGTGCCTGTGTGCGCGTGTGCCTGTGTGCGCGTGTGCCTGTGTGCGCGTGTGCCTGTGTGTGCGTGCACACACGGGCACGCGTCCGTTTGCTTGCCTTGCCGACGATGCTGCCGATGTTGATGATGGAGCCGGAGGCGGCGCGCGCCGACACGAGGGACTGGGCCACGGCCTGAGTCACCAGGAAGGTGCCCTGCTTGGACAAAGAACCACCACCCTCCCCTCCGCCAGGTAGCCTTCAACAGACTGTTGGGGCGAGGGCTGTTCGCGAGTGGCAGCGCCTACGATGGCTGGCACGGCAGGCGAGGCACGGCACACGAAGGATGCCCCGGTGGTCGCCCCGGTGGTCCCCCCCCCCGTTCCTAAGAAAGGGGGCTCGCCAGGGCATCCTTCCAATCCAGCAGGAACCTGTCCTGTGGTCCGGATGGTTCGTGATGCGATTGCGTCGTACAGGGCAGCCTGCAGAAAGGCGTCACCCTCGCTCGGCAGTTTGTTTCGGAGGTCATCTGTGCCCATCGCTATTCCTGGTCTCGGGCTCTTAAAAAGGGGGACCCCACCAGGGCATCCTTCCTATCCTGCAGAGAGCCTCGCCCCGTAGAACAGGCAGTTGTGTATTTATATCGGGCAGACTGCACACGATTGTCACCCACCCTCAGCGGTTCGCTCGAGAGGTCATCTCTGCCTGGTGCTTGACCTGGTCTCGGGCTCCGAATCGCTCTTTGAACTTCTTCAACAGGTGGCCATTCAGCCACGGTGGTGAGATGTTAACTACCGCGCCTGGTATACAGGAGGTCGTGGGTTCGATCGAGACCCTGACGCCTAATGCGGTTTTTCTCTCCACATTAAGAGTCAACATCACGCGTTTTAGAGTATTTGGCTGCTCCACTACATCTCCACGCGATGATGATAGGCCGCTTCGTTGAGCTATCATTTGTGGCCAGCTCGCGTCTGAACAAGAGCTACATAGCTCAGTGGGGCCTTACCTGGAAGAAGGTTTATTTGAGGCACTGCAGCATAACCAGGGTCAACCACGTTACCCTATGATTTAATTTGAGCAGAGAGATTTCATTCCCCCCCCCCCCCCCCGAGACATCACAGAATTGCTCAGCAAATCCGCAAATGTGTTCTTGGGTAACAGGGATCGGGATCACCGTTCTTTCTCGAAATCACGGCGATAGGTGGTGCTGCAAGTAGCTTTTCGACGGAACCGAAGTGCGATTTGCGGTCGCGAGCTAATGAGGCGGTTTCCACCTCCCTCGGCAAAAAACCCGTGACCGCCACTCACCCACGGCCGGCGTAAATTTCCACACGGACGATGGTCACAAGCCGCTTCGTCTATCACTCGCGATGGCCAGGTCGCTTCTGGAAAAAAAAAAGATCTAACGTAGCCATCGGTCGGCGCCCACCTGGCCAAATGAAAATCGTTTAATAGTTTTAGTTTTACCTGGGGGGGGGGGGGGCGAGAGGGGAGGGAGGGGAAGGAGGATGCGGAGGGGGGAGGCGGTGAGGCGGGAGCAAGGACCTTGAGGTTGACTCTAATCACTTGGTCAAACGCCTCCTCATCCATGCGCAGCAGCATCTGGTCCCTGATGATGCCGGCGGCGCTCACGGACACGGACGGAGGCTCGCCGGCTTGCTCCTGCAACGAGCGGGCGACAGGGGGGGGGGGGGCACGGCCAGTGGACTATGTTCGTACGTGTGCGTGTGTGTGTGTGTGTGCGTGTGCGCGTGTGTGTGTGTGCGTGTGTGTGTGTGTGCGCGTTGAACTTCTTTCGCACCAACGTAACGCGGCCAACCGTGCAAAATCTGAGGTGCTGTGGGGAAGGAGAACAAACTAAACACAAAAAGCAGTTTGAAAGAAACTGAGTTTTCAATCGAGACGATGATCATCATTCAAAAGTGCATAGCTGCAGTGGCTTCCTAACAACGGAAGGGAAGAGCGTTCCAGACGGCCGCAGAAGCAGCGCGTCTGAAAGCGCCGCGCGATGCAGCGGCGACCGCCGCCTTTTTTGTTCGACTGTGAACCAAAATCCGCCGCCGCCGCCGCCGCCGCTGCCGCTGCCGCTGCTGCTACGAGCATGAGCGGAGTGTCGCGTGAAGCCGGTTCACGCTCCTTGAAGCGATCGGCGAGGCGTTGCGGTTGATTTGTGGCGAGCACTTTGTGTGCGACCTTGCAGCAAGGCGACACGCCGCGGTACAGAGCTCCTACGCGCCGTGCCAAGCGCTGCCACACCGCCCACCGTCACACTGAGCTCAGAGGGTAGCACATCAGCCGTGCAACTCACAGGGGGTGGCTACTTCCTCCGACCTTTGAGGCTGCGGTGCGATGTTAACTACCTCGCCCGGTGTACAGGAGGTCGCGGGTTCCACCCCGACCCTGACGATGCCTGTTGTATATTTAGAGTTTGCGGTGTCTCTCTCTCTCTCTCATCATCATCACGGTGGCTATGAGATGTTAACGACCTCGCCCGGTATACAGGAGGTCGCGGGTTCCACCCCGACCCTGACGATGCCTGTTGTATATTTAGAGTTTGCGTGTCTCTCTCTCATCATCATCACAGTGACTATGAGATGTTAACTACCTCGCCTGGTATACAGGTCGCAGGATCCACCCCGACCCTGACGCCTGCTGCTGTATATTTAGAGTTTGCGTGTCTCTCTCTCATCATCATCACGGTGACTATGAGATGTTAACGACCTCGCCCGGTATACAGGAGGTCGCAGGTTCAATCCCCACCCTGACAATGCCTGTTGTATATTTAGAGTTTGCGTGTCTCTCTCTCTCATCATCACGGTGGCTCACGGTGGCCCGGTATACAGGAGGTCGCGGGTTCAATCCCCACCCTGACAATGCCTGTATATTTGGCACAGTAGACACTGTGCTTAGGGGCTAATCACTCACCCAGCCACCAGGGCCGCATTATTAACTCCCACGCCTGGAGTTCGTGGGTTCGATCTTGACCCCGAGGCCTGCTGTATATTTGGAGTTTGTGTGTCTCTCTCTCTCTCTCCCCGTGGTCGTGTGGGTTCTTCTCCGGGTCCTCCTGTTTTCCCCTCCACATTTAGAAACATGCGTTTGGCGTATTTGTCTACAATAAATTTCCGCGCGCGACAAGCCACTTCATTGAGCTGTCATTTGTGGTCAGGTCGGTTTTGATAAAAGAGCTATATATATATAGCTCAGTGGGCCTTACCTGGTAAAATAAAATAAAAAATAGTTTAAAATAGTTTTATTGAACTGCACTTGCCAATGCCTTCCAATCATTCCTCTTCTTGTGTGCGCGATAGCCCACTCGGTGATTAAAGTCTCCATCCCAAAAGGTCACTTGAGCTTGCGCCTGGGACAGGTCATAAAATACGTCTAGTCTCATCAGCCTTGCCTCTGCATCCCTCCACTGATGTTCACCTTCGGTGGGGGCATAAGCCACCCCCCCCCGTCACTGTTCCTCACCTCTCGTTGACGGGGAAGTGAGCGCAAAAGTAGCCTGGGACAGCTTCCCACACCTCACCGCCATGCTCCCATGCCCATCTTCATTCTTTTGCTCAAAGGAAAAGCCACTCCCGGTTGTTTGGCAGTTTCCTGCCCCGAGTGGAGGACTGTCCATCCCTCGTGAGCGACTGGAGCAAGAACCGGTCCACCCACCACCACTACGACCACCACCACCACCGTGTGTTGATCAGCAGGAGGCGAGTTTACGCAAAGCCAGGGACTCGTGCCCTCCCACGCCTTTATTCTCCATCTTGTTTGGTGCCATCCCGCCCCCAGGCGAAAGGCCGAGAGAGAGGACTGCCCACCTCCCGTGGCGTCGGGAGCTTCGGACTAGTTCACCGGCAGTCCACGAAAATTCAGCCGTAACCGGCCCAGCTCCCGGCAGAAAAGCGGCAGCCTCTCTTCGCCAGCGAGCGCTCGGGCGTCCACACCTCGGCCGTCTGCAGTGGCTGCCCGTTTTTTTTTGTGTGTCGAGGCTCCTTCGAGGGAATAGTCTCGGAACCCCGGCTGTGGTAATTCGGGTCTCACAAAGGGGACGTTATGGATGCCCGTGCCCTTGGGGGGGGAGGGGAGGGGAGGGGGGATGGAGCCCCCGATGGTAAACGCTTAACATTTTGATCAACTTTGCGGTAATCCAATGCGGACGCTTCACCAGACCAGAGGCCCCGTTTCGCCACCGCGACAGATGCGAGAACGCAGTCGGTTGGACAGATGAGCTGGCAGCCTTTGTCCCCAGTGGCACCAGCTCACGGCACGGCACAGATTGCCAACATCATCTGGCACCGCGAGGAGGGGCGAGGCCCTATTTTTGCCAGACACCCCACAACAGCAGTTTTTCTCAACCGGGTGGTACGCGGACAACCCTGGGGGTACACACGTAGGCCAACGTCGCCAGGGTGGGTACGTGAGGCGATTTGGGGCCTTCCATAAGTGACGTCGCGCGATTTTGGACGATTTTTTTACCCCCCACCGCCCCCCCCTACTACTCGTCACACGGCGTCACAAACAGTGAGACCCCCCCCCCCCCAAAAAAACATGCTTCAAATCGCTTTAAACTATTGTAACGCTGGGATAACTAAAGATTCCGCTTCCGATGACTGCGCCTGGTCGACGGAGCGGGACCTTGATGACGACAAAAAAAACTTTCGTTTAGTATTTTGCATCACTAATTTTCTATTTTACCAGGTAAGCCTCACTCAGCCATATATCTCTCTTCTTAGAGGCGACCTGGCCGCAATTGATAGCTCAACGAAGTGGCTTATCGTCATCGTGCGGAGATTTAGATAGAGCAGTAGCCAAATACTCCTGAACGAATGACGTCGTTTCTAAATGTGGAGGGAAAAACTGGAGGACCCGGAGAAAAATCCACGCGACCACGTGGAGAGAGAGAGAGAGACACGCAAACTCCAAATATAAAGCAGCAGGCGTCAGGGTCGGGATCGAACCCACGACCTCCTTTATACCAGGCGAGGTAATCAACATCTCCTAGCCACCGTGATGATGATGAGAGAGAGAGAGAGACACGCAAACTCCAAATATACAGCAGCAGGCGTCAGGGTCGGGATCGAACCCACGACCTCCTGCACACCAGGCGAGGTAGTTAACATCTCATAGCCACCGTGATGATGATGAGAGAGAGACACGCAGACTCCAAATATACAGCAGCAGCAGGCGTCAGGGTTGAGATCGAACCCACGACCTCCTGTATACCGGGCGAGGTAGTTAACATCTCCTAGCCACCGTGATGATGACAGAGAGAGAGACACGAAAACTCCAAATATACAGCAGCAGCAGGCGTCAGGGTTGGGATCGAACCCACGACCTCCTGTATACCAGGCGAGGTAGTTAACATCTCATAGCCACCGTGATGATGATGAGAGACACACAGACTTAAAATATACAGCAGGCGTCAGGGTCGGGATCGAACGCACGACCTCCTGCATACCAGGCGAGGTAGTTAACATCTCATAGCCACCGTGGCTAATTGTCCATCTGCACCACAGGCCAGGTTCCGCAGTATTGGAAGGATGCCCTTGCACCCCACCCCCCCCCCCCCCAAACAACGGCATCCATTCGTGCCAACGGCACCCCCACACGCCCGCCAGCGCTGTCCGGTTGCTTCCCCGCGCGCTCGGTCACCTGCAGCCGGGCGAGCATCGCCTGGACGCTCGCCTTGTCCCCGACGTCCACCGCGAGCGCCGCGTGCCGCTGGCCGGGGAGCTCGGCCGGCAGGAGGCCCACCGTGGCGGCCGCCGCGTCGGCGCTCAGGTCGGCGACGGCCACGCTGGCGCCGTCGCGAGCGAGACGCACGCACACCGCTCGGCCGATGCCGCTGCCGCCGCCTGTGTGACGGGATTGCGGCGAGGTAGGCCCGGCAGAAGGGGGGGGGGGGAGGCCACGGTATGAGAAAGGAATATATTTGTTTTTACCGGGTACGGCCCACTGAGCTATGTAGCCAGCGACCTGGTCACCACAAATAACTGAACGAAGCAGCACGGTGCTGGGTTGTCTCCGGGGATCTCTGTGTCTCTGTGTGTCTCCCTCCTCGTGTACATCAGCAGCACAGTGCTGGGTTGTCTCTGTGTCTCTGAGTGTCTCCACCTCGTGTACATCAGCAGCATGGTGCTAGGTTGTCTCTGTGTCTCTGTGTCTCTGAGTGTCTCCACCTCGTGTACATCAGCAACATGGTGCTGGGTTGTCTCTGTGTCTCTGAGTGTCTCCACCTCGTGTACATCAGCAGCATGGTGCTGGGTTGTCTCTGTGTCTCTGTGTCTCTGAGTGTCTCCCCCTCGTGTACAGCAGCAGCAAGGTGCTGGGTTGTCTCTGTGTCTCTGTGTCTCTGAGTGTCTCCCCCCTCGTGTACAGCAGCAAGTTGCTGGGTTGTCTCTGTGTCTCTGAGTGTCTCCCCCCTCGTGTACAGCAGCACAGTGCTGGGTTGTCTCTGTGTCTATGTGTCTCTGTGTCTCTGAGTGTCTCCCTCCTCGTGTACAGCAGCAGCAGCATGGTGCTGGGTTGTCTCTGTGTCTCTGTGTCTCTGAGTGTCTCCCCCACCGGTTGTCTCTGTGTCTCTGTGTCTCTCCCCCCTCGTGTACAGCAGCAGCATGGTGCTGGGTTGTCTCTGTGTCTCTGTGTCTCTGAGTGTCTCCCCCTCGTGTACAGCAGCATGGTGCTGAGTTGTCTCTGTGTCTCTGTGTCTCTGAGTGTCTCCCTCCTCGTGTACAGCAGCATGGTGCTGGGTTGTCTCTGTGTCTCTGAGTCTCTGAGTGTCTCCCCCTCGTGTACAGCAGCACCATGGTGCTGGGTTGTCTCTGTGTCTCTGAGTGTCTCCCTCTCGTGTACAGCAGCAGCAGCAGCATGGTGCTGGGTTGTCTCTGTGTCTCTTTGTCTCTGAGTGTCTCCCCCTCGTGTACAGCAGCACGGTGCTGGGTTGTCTCTGTGTCTCTGTGTCTCTGAGTGTCTCCCCCACCGGTTGTCTCTGTGTCTCTGTGTCTCTGAGTGTCTCCCCCCTCGTGTACAGCAGCAGCACGGTGCTGGGTTGTCTCTGTGTCTCTGTGTCTCTGAGTGTCTCCCCCACCGGTTGTCTCTGTGTCTCTGAGTGTCTCCCCCCTCGTGTACATCAGCAGCACGGTGCTGGGTTGTCTCTGTGTCTCTGTGTCTCTGAGTGTCTCCCCCTCGTGTACAGCAGCACAGTGCTGGGTTGTCTCTGTGTCTCTGAGTGTCTCCCCCTCGTGTACAGCAGCATGGTGCTGGGTTGTCTCTGTGTCTCTGTGTCTCTGAGTGTCTCCACCTCGTGTACAGCAGCAGCAAGGTGCTGGGTTGTCTCTGTGTCTCTGAGTGTCTCCCCCCTCGTGTACAGCAGCATGGTGCTGGGTTGTCTCTGTGTCTCTGTGTCTCTGAGTGTCTCCCCCTCGTGTACAGCAGCATGGTGCTGGGTTGTCTCTGTGTCTCTGTGTCTCTGAGTGTCTCCCCCTCGTGTACAGCAGCAGCATGGTGCTGGGTTGTCTCTGTGTCTCTGAGTGTCTCCCCCTCGTGTACAGCAGCACCATGGTGCTGGGTTGTCTCCGGTTTATTGCTACATGAAGCCAAACCCGAGTATCTCATGGGATTCATGGTCAAACATGTCAATATGGCAGGAGCCACCTAAAATACGCCTGAACCGCCAAATTAATGCAGGACATTCTGAAAAAAGGTTAATGGCGTTATTATTTTTATTGAGACGTGGACATGCCATGCCACGAGAATGCCACAGCACACTCACACCACTGACGAAACACACCACTCTCAAACCACACACTACACCACACACCACCCTCACACCACACACACACCACACACCACACTCACACCACACACACACCACACTACACACCACCCTCACACCACTCTCAAACCACACACCACACTCACACCACACTCACACCACACCACACACCACCCTCACACCACTCTCAAACCACACACCACACTTACACCACACCACACACCACCCTCACACCACTCTCAAACCACACACCACACTCACACCACCCTCACACCACACCACACACCACCCTCACACCACACACCACACTCACACCACACTCACACCACACTCGCACCACACACACACCACACACCACCCTCACACCACACACCACACTCACACCACTCTCACACCACACTCACACCACCCTCACACCACACACACACCACACACCACCCTCACACCACACTCACACCACACACACACCACACACACACCACACTCACACTGCACGGCGTCACACCACCCTCACACCACACTCACACTGCACGGCGTCACACCACATTCACACTGCACGGCGTCACACCACACTCACACCACACTCACACCACCCTCACACTGCACGGCGTCACACCACACTCACACCACCCTCACACTGCACGGCGTCACACCACACTCACACCACACTCACACCACCCTCACCCTGCACGGCGTCACACCACCCTCACACTGCACGGCGTCACACCACCCTCACACCACCCTCACACTGCACGGCGTCACACCACGGCACCTGTGACCAGCGCGAGACGTCCCGCGAGCTTCATCGCCATCAGCGCGATCCCTGCCCCACTCCCAAGGGGTCCCTACTGACCCCCCGCCCCGCCCCTCCCTCCCTCTCTCCCTCCACTCCTCCCTCCCTCCACTCTGTACCAGTCCCCCAGTGACCCCTGAGTCCCTCAGTGACCCCTGAGTCCCCCAGTGACCCCTGAGTCCCCCAGTGACCCCTGAGTCCCCCAGTGACCCCCTCAGTGTCCCCTCGAGACGCCCCCTCACACGCGCTGCCACTCTTCCGGAGTGAGCGGAATTGACGAAGGGGGCGGAGCCACGTGGGGGGGCGGGGTCCTGTATGGGGGCGAGGTCCTGAGAGGGAGCCCGGTCCTCTGTGGGGGCGGAGCCATGTGAGGGGGCGGGGTTATATATGGGGGCGGGGTCCTGAGAATGAGCCCGGTCCTCTGTGGGGGTGGAGCCATGTGGGTGGGGGGGCGGGGTTATCTATGGGGCGGGGTCCTGAGAGGGTGCCCGGTCTTCTGTGGGGGCGGAGCCATGTGAGGGGGCGGGGTTATATATGAGGGCGGGGTCCTGAGAGGGTGCCCGGTCCTCTGTGGGGGTGGAGCCATGTGGGTGGCGGGCGGGGTTATCTATGGGGGCGGGGTCCTGAGAGGGTGCCCGATCCTCTGTGGAGGGTGGAGCCATGTGAGGGGGCGTGCTTTGAGGAGGCGGGGTGCTGTGTCCGGTGCGTGAGGAGGTGTGGCCATGTGAGGGGACGTGGTCATGTATGGGGACGGAGCCATACAAGGGGGCGGGGTCATGTAAGGGGGCGAGGTCCTGTGAGGGGGCGGAGACCTGCGTGGAGGCGGGGTCCTATGAGGGCGGGGGGGGGGCTCGTGAGAGGGGGCGGGGTCCTGTGAGGGGGCGTGGTCCTTGTATTTGTTTTGGCGACCAGGTGGCTAAGTGAAGGTTTTGCTAATAATTATCCGCTTATCTATTTTGTTATTTCAATCGGATGAGAGAAGCTCTGAAGGAATGTGACGATCACAGATGTCCAAGGGGCCCGCGAATGTTTGCAATTCCTGAACCTCGCAACTTTTTACAATTTCGATTTAAAGCTTTCGTGACTGCAATGATTCATCTTCTTTGGTTCTTTCGGTAAAGTCACGTAGAATGAGAATAAAATAATAAATTGATAAAATAAAATAACACAATAATATTCTCACGACGTTTCGGCCACAACACAAGCGGCCTTCATCAGGTGAAGGGACGAGACTGTCTGGTAGGACAGCGCTGGAGTGAAAGAGCCACGTTCAGATCACGGCCTTTAAGCTGTGTGAGAGGAACAAAGCGCCTTGACAAAGGAATTAGCATATAATTTAGCATTGAAATGACTGAATGATTAACTTGTGGCTATGTTAAAAGTTAAAGCATACACATCTGCAGAGGCACCCCATTTCAATGCTAAATTATATGCTAATTCCTTTGTCAAGGCGTTTTGTTCCTCTCACACAGCTTAAAGGCCGTGATCTAAACGTGGCTCTTTCACTCCAGCGCTGTCCTACCAGACAGTCTCGTCCCTTCACCTGATGAAGGCCGCTTGTGTTGTGGCCGAAACGTCGTGAGAATATTATTGTGTTATTTTATTTTATCAATTTATTATTTTATTCTCATTCTACGTGACTTTTTACAATGTTTAATTTTCCATTTGGTTTTTAAAATTTTCCATTCGGTTTTTTTTTTGGATTGTTTGTTGACCTAACCCTCTGACCCACCCCCCACCTGCCCCTTACATGACATCAGTGAAAAAATAGCTTCATAGCTCATCGGATTCCTCCAGTCTAAATAGAGATTCTGATTCTCAACCACTGCCAACCCAAGATGCGCCTCACGCATCCGCAATGCACCATTAATCAAATCCTTGCGATTGTGCAGCAGCAGCAGCGGGCAGCAAAATGTCACCGCGGTGGCGAGATGTTAACTCCCTCTACTGGTTTACAGGATGTCTTGGGTTCGATCCCGATGCCTGCTGTGGATTTGGAGTCTGAATGTTCTCCCCGTTGTGCACGGGCATTTTTTCTCCGGCATCGGATGTTATTAGAATCAACGCGCGTTCAGAACATGCGGCTGCTGTTTGTAAATATCCACACGATAAGGGGCCGTCCATAAATGACGTCACGCACCGGGGGGGGGGGTTTGAGAAATGTGACGTCACGTAAAAATGCGCAAACTTTAAATGAACATAGACAACACGTTCTATTTAAATTTCGATTTAAAGCTTTCGTGATTGCAAGGATTCATCTTCTTTGGTTCTTTCGGTAAAGTCACGTATTGTCTAATTTTATTTTATTATTTTATTCTCATTCTACGTGACTTTACCGAAAGAATGAAAGAAGACGTTCTATTGAATTAAATATACTTTTTAATAAATGTTTTCTCCCATAACATCAGAGTGCAGTGCCACATTAAATACGCACTACAATGACAATACTTTAAAGCGATTTGAACCATGTTTTATTTTGGGGGGGGGGGCAGAGCTTTGTGACGTCATATTTGAGGGGGGTCTGACTTTTTGTGACGCCGTGTGACGAGGAGGGGGTCAAAAATCGTCCAAAATCGCGTGACGTCATTTATGGACGGCCCCTTAGCCACTTCGTTGAGCAATCATTTGTGGCCAGGTCGCTTCTGAAAAAAACGAGAATTGTCCAGTGGACTTTATATCTGGCAAAATAAAAAAAAATGTTTTAGGAATAGTTTATAGTTTCATTCTCTTAGCATTCTATCTGAACGTGCAAAGCAGGCCTAAACACACCCATGGGCAGGCCCAGACTGACCGTAGGGCAGCCGCACTCCATAGGGCAAATGTCCGGTGGACCGGTCCGTTCCGAGGGCCAGTGGGCCGGTTTGTGTGGGGAAATTGCAACTGTGATCAGAGTAACACATTCTCCTGCGGAGGGAGCTGGTAGTAGGAACGTTGGGTTGTCGGTCAATGGCCAGGGTCAACAACGGCGGCACCACGTGGTGTGTTCAGCACAATATGCCCGGCTGTGAGGGCGGGCACAAGCCGGCGTGAGTAGGTTAAACGTTGAGTTTTATAAGGGGGGCACCTCGGGGTGACCAGCCCCTCCCCACCTAGCCCCACCCCTCCCTCCCCACCCAGCCCCACCCTCCCCACCCTCCCCACCCAGCCCCTTCCTCCCCACCCTCCCCACCCAGCCCCTTCCTCCCCACCCAGCCCCTTCCTCCCCACCCTCCCCTCCCCACCCTCCCCTCCCCTCCCCACCCAGCCCCTCCCCACCCTCTCCACCCAGCCCCACCCATCCCATTTTTGGATGCACGACGGACGGACGAACACAATAATCCCCTGTGGGCTGCTGGTGTAACCAGGAGGTTCCTACCAGTAATATATAAATGTATCTATTTTACATGTTAATATTTAAATATTGTATTACTTCTGTGTACGTTTTGTTGCTTATTTAGACTCTCCGTTGGCATTAAATCCTCATATTCGGCAGCCCCCAAAGAATATTGCTCACCGGCACCCCTCCCAATTCGTTTTTGGACCCAGCCCCAAACGGTGCTGCAGTGGGTCCAAGACGAGGAGAGACGGTTCGCTAGAGGCAACACGTTTATTCAACTCGGGAACCATAACACAGAGGGGTAACGGGCCCTCACACCCAATAACCTAACCCTACACTGGTTATGTCTGAACCCGACCCTAGCCAGGGGTCCGGGTTCTGCCCGCTGGGCTCTTCGCTTCAGGGTAGCTGCTGAGTCTTCAGCTCTTCAGGTGGACGAGGACTGCCGAACCCGTTCAGGGGTCCGGCTTTTATACCCGTTCCAGGGTCTCTCCACCCCTAGCCACGCCTCCCTTCTGGAACTCTCTAGGTGGCCCAGCCCCCCTCTTGGGGTCTGGGGGCCCTATTGGCCCAACGGCCCTGTTCGTCCCACGTGGTCTGTATACCACCCCCTGTTGACGCATATCCGCTATTACAGGTAAGCTCCCCGTGGTAATACGCATACAGCCCAACAATGGCGCGACGGTACCAATGAGGTCGCACGCCAATTTGCGCCCTTGCATTCACAAATGCCAAGGCAGTGTATTTTTTTTATTGCCACAGTCCGTCACTGCCCATGGCCGTGGCATGACCCTCCCATGGCACACGTGCAGCCCGTGCCAACTGCGTCTCGTTCTTCTGGGCCGTGACGTTTTCATCGAGAACACAGCGGGGCGGTTTATCGCTAAATCAGATTTGTCAAAGTTTGGCGGTACCCGTGCGTTGCATTCTAGGTTCAGCTCTTCGGTTGGTGATTCTACGTGCGCCTGTAAGCCAGCTCTGTGCAGGCAAGGCTTCGTGGGTGACACAAACGTTAAAACTCCCTTCCCATGAGCGTTTGTGGAGCCATATAGCCTGGCTTGCCTAGAGACAACGACGGTGCAGAAGAATGTGGACTCCCACCTGTTCCATCTGTATGGGATAGTGTGTTGCTCCCTCGCACTCATGTTCTGTAGGGAGTTCTACGATCCTGCTGTGCCGAGTTCGATTCCCGCTCACGGCCAAAATCAGCGACGACTATCTGAAGTGGTCCTGGACGACCCCTAGGTCTACTCAGCCTCAAATAAACATCGCCACGAGGGAGACAAAGGTGGTCGGCCGTGGTGCTGGCCACTGATAGGTGCTACTCACTAACAGCACTCGCCCCAAAAGTATTTTAAGGCTAAATTTTGATTTAAAGCTTTCGTGACTGCAGTAATTCATATTCTTAGTTCTTTCGGTAAAGTCACGTTGAAGGGAAACAACAAAATAATAAAATATATATAAAACAATAAAAATTCTCACGACGTTTCGACCATAACACAAACGGTTTGTGTCATGGTCGAAACGTCGTGAGAATTTTTATTGTTTTACATATATTTTATTATTTTGTTGTTTCCCTTCAACGTGACTTTACCGAAAGACCTAAGAATATATATTTTAAGGCTGTAAGGGGGGGGATCTTTGTCTTGTGACTTGCAGTGTGGTGTTTGAACACAGGTATGGATGAGACGAAACAGTCTGCTGGAGCGCAGGTTGGCAAGGTCGAAACATTTTATTGTAATGAATAGCAAAAATGTGAATACGTACGTGGCTTACGACATGACTCGACCTATTCCACTAAGCAGGGCTATACACCAAACACCGAATACGACGACGACGGTCTACTTGCGACGAAAAAAAAACCACACCAGCGCAAGAAGCGAATTGACACCACACCACTCGCCCGGATCACACAGCAGCTTGGCTACAGCCGAGGGCCTCTGACATCAGCCCAAGGGTCGCCACGCCCTGCCTGAGCTTGAGCGGGTATAGGCCGGCGAATTGATTTTGGCATTGTGTTGAACTTTATTGCAGTACACTGCACAGTTTCGATCATAGACCTAGGCCGATTTCATACATAGGCTTTCACGACCAATGATTCGTGATTCGTTTTTTTTTTGGGTTCGGTTGTGTGGGTATAATGTCAATTCGAGCCCTTTCACTCGAGGTCTGAGCTCTTGATAACATCTGATGATACTGGATGCCATCTCTACCGAAATGCCGCATACAAGCACCAAAACACTGTGTCAGCATTTCTGCTCCTGCTGAAATACCACGTCGATGGACACATTTTCCTGGGTGGCAGCTTGACTGCGTCGTTGGGTGGTGGAAGGTGCACGGCCGTAAATTTAGAATCGCAGCAACACGATCTGACCCCCCCCCGCCCCCCCCCCCAAAAAAAACGAATCATGAATCAGGCCCAGGCCCAGGGCCGCCTTTAGAAAATACGCACAGGGCTTGGTGTCGCGGCAAACCGCGGTGCAGAGCCAAATCGGCCTGCGAGCGGCAATGTTGCCAAAAGAGCTCCTCTAGCGCAGCACCACGACGAGGTTGAAAATGTTTCCTTTCTAAAATTAAACAACGACGAGAGGACCAGCCGGGGGGGGAGTTGTGCCGGCCTGTCCCGTCCCCGCGCGCCGGTAGCGGCGAGGAAGCGACGGAAACCGGACAATACTCCCAAACTCGGCGGCGATAACGAAGCTAAGTGGCTAAACGAGCAGCACCGATACAAAAGCAGATATTGACCCGACAACACCTGTTAACACTGCCCACGATAATACTGCGGCATGGGTTGGCGATCACGAAACACGTGCGCTCCCTACCAAACGTGACGGTACGACGCCATTCACCGACGCAAAAAAAAAACACTGGCCAAATGTGCTCCACCACATCCACCGCCACCCACCACCACCACCACACACAGAGAGAGAGCGAGAGCTGGGTGGCTGAGGCACAGGCACTCAGAGACAGGGTGGATGGGGAATGCAATGACCACAGATCTCACAGAGTGGTTCTGAAGGAGGCGTTTGAGGTAGGTGGGTGTAATCAGACTGCACCTGAGATTGAGTCAGCCGAGTGGACACGACAACGCTGAATCCGCGAGAGGACACAATTATGCATCCTACAGTTCTGCGCCCGTACCTAGGACCCATGTCGAACAAGAGCGGATCGTTGCCCACGAACATCCGGCAGTTCGCCAGCGTTGGATCAAGCAGGGCAGACTCTGCTGATGATGACACACTGAATATCAAAACCGGTCCAGGGTTTCGCTTGTGTTGCACCAAAGCTGTTGAAAATTGTGCACTCGCAGAAGAAAGGCCGCGCGGCTGATGGAGTGTGTACGAAAACAATTACTTTTGTTCACGTCGAGGGACGCATACTGTAGGTATCCTGTTGCGTCCAGTCTCCACGATGATTTATTCAAAATGGCGACGGACTCACGGTGCCTCTACTCAACTCGTCACGTCACACGCCGATGAAGGGACGCGCGGCGGCTTCACGCACGTGCACACCCCCCACCGCCCACGCTCTCGTGCCTCTGCAACGACACGACGTCACAGCGACGTCGCTCGTCCGCGCGGCACACCGGCAACACTCGCGCATGCGCACGGACACGGCGGAACGACAGCCGGAAGCCACCTACCCCCTCCCACGCACCCCGTGTCGGCCTCAGCCCGCGGGGGTCTCTTGGTCTCTCTCGCCAGCCGCACGCCACCAATTTCTCTACCTCCCTCTGTGCATGCATTGGGCCTCCCGCTTGGCATGTCACGATGCACGGTAGCCATCGCAGAATTACATACGTGGACAATACCGTTCACCCCCCACCCCCCTCTCCTCCTCCAAACCGCCCCAACCCCCCAAAGGTCAAAATAATGATGATTCAAATCAACCATGAATTATCCATTGTAAGCGTGGTGAACACAGCCGATCTCTACAGGCTGCAGTAGGATTGCGTTAACAGGGGCAGTGCTTCCCAACTTGTTTAACTCGATGGTAATCCTTTCAGCTTTCTCGTTCATGGCACACACTAATCCTTTCAGCTTTCTCGTTGTTCATGGCACACACAACCAAAAAAAAGCCACGTGGGCCCTTGATCATGGCTGACCATGATGTGTGTGTGTGTGCACGCGCATGTGATACGGCTGGCGAACATAACCCCCACCCCCTCGGTGGATGTCAGTCGGTAGCGCTGTGGTGGTTGTAAGCAATGTCACTTGGGGAAGGACGATGCCAATCGCCTGTTAACCCTTCTGGCACTCACAGTGGCCACGGTGGCCTCTGGAAGGTTGCGAGGGGCTGGTAAATCATTCAACTCAATTACCGAAAAAACACAAAAGCTTGTGCCGCAGGCCCCGGGGGTACGGGCATCTATGACATCTCCTGGCCAAACCCGAGTTGGCCGAGCCAGGAGACTAAATCCCCACCCTCCGACTTTCTCCAGGAACAGCAAAAAACCACTAAGAGTGGCCACGTGGAATTTTCGAACGCTCAGTGCGGAGGAAAGGCTACCACTTCTTTGTTGGGAACTGGACCGGTACTTGCCGGACCGATGTGGAGTACAGGAGGTCTGGTGGACTGGTTCTGGCTCCAGTCACTATGAGGAATGGACACTCCTCCACTCGGTGCAGGAAACTGCCAAGCAACAAGGGAGTGGCTCTTCTTCTGAACAGAATAATGAAGGGGGTGTGGGAGCATCGCAGTAAGGTTTGGGAAGCTGTCCCAGGCTACTGTGGGCTCGCTTCCCCATCAACGGGAGGTGAGGAATAGTGGCGATGCTGGCTTATGCCCCCACCGAAGATGAACATCAGTGGAGGCATGCAGGTAAGGCTGATGAGTCAGATGCCTTCTATGAGTTGTCACGGGTGCAGCTAAAGTGGCACCTTGGGATAGAGTCATCCTATTGGATGGCTTTCATGAATGAGTGGATCATGACGCAGACACCTGGGCTGGAGTGATTGGAAGGCATGGGCCAGATCAGCTCATAATAACGGGAGGCTGCTCGACTTCTGTGCAGCCCATGGGCTTGTAACCACTGTTCCGGAATGAGCATATTCACAAAACATCATGGATGTACGCCGGGGCCAAGAAAGAACATCTGCTGGAGTATATAGTGACAGACCAGCGAATGCGGGCCCATGTCCTTGACGCCAAGACCTACTGTGGAGCTGATCTGGCCACTGACCATCAGTTTGTCATCTGTAATATGCGCCTGCCATTCTTCCACTACGCTGGTCGGCATACACTCTGGACCTCATTCAAAACCCGCAATAGCCAGGTCTTGGCTCGCTGATGAAAGTAGCGAGGTAGAAATGTATCATCGCTTGCAACTCGGGCTGGCATCGTCCCCCCCTCCTCCTGATGCCGAAGGGAAATGGGCAAGGTTCAAGAATGTGGCTCACGCAGTTGCAATGGCCACGTTGGGTATGCAGCTCAGACCTCCCCAGAGACCCTGGCTGACGAAGAAGATGATTCCAGTTCGCCGAGAGAAAGCGACAGGCCCACTCCCGCCATCTGCAGCATCCCACATCTGAGAATGAGAAGGCTTACCACAGCCTTCGCTTGGAGGTTCGGAGAGCCGTGCGGTGCTGAAACGACGAGTGCTGGTCGCGGGTTGCTGAGGAAATGGCAACGGTTGATCAATAAAAAAATATACCATGGCATGCCTGGATTTTTTTCTTTGGCACGCCAGTCGTAAAGCACTGAAATCGGGGTGAAACCTGTCCGGCCTTGACCTCAGCAGTACAGGAAATGGCATGATCTTTGTTCAGGTGGCAGAAGGAATTGAATTGCTCTGAGATCTGGTGCCAACGTGACAACCGCCAGACAGACACACAAAAGCCAGGATCCACCGGGGGCAACTTTAGGTCAACCGTTGCCAGCACTTGGCACCAGCAATGGTGACTGCAGCGCTTCCCATTGTAAAAAATCTCGTTGCTAAGCAAATTTCTAGTCTTCTTCCTTCGTATGGATTAATAGCAGATTAAAGATGAAATTTTTTTTATTGTTACCCACAGCAGATTTCGTCCGTTCCTCCTTTAAACGAGCGAAGAAGTGAAGATGGGCAACTGGGACAGTGACATCCAATCAGATCACAGGCAGAGGTCATGTGACTGCTGCCTAACGTCACACACACTCTTCATTTGGCAAAAACGGCGGCTTCAATTCTGAGTGGGATCTGGACGTGGTATGATGGCGTGATGGTGCGATGCGATGGTGCCGCATGACGTCGTGGGTGAGAAGTTGCGGAGGGGTGTGACGGTGTGGTGTGATGGTGTTGATGTCCCATAGTAAGCATGATGTGCTTCAGCCATATCAGCAGGTGAATACAACCAACAGATTAATTCGCAGCCTTGCGGAACCCACCACTGCCAAACAAACGCGCCGCGCTGATTGGCTAGAGAGAGATCTCCGTCGCCCTGTGCCCGTTCCCCAACAAAGTTGCCACCACCGCTAACGCTTTGCCGGTGACGGTCGGCGGCAAACGATCTCCCGACTAACATTCTCCCCAGTGCATCACGGCCTTAAGACACTTACCCCCCCAAGCTGCGGTGGATGGGGGGGACGAGGGTGTGGTGTGGAGGCGGGGGGGGGGCGGGGGTGTGGTGTGGAGGCGGGGGGGCGGGGGTGTGGCGTGGAGGCGGGGGTGAGGTGTGTGGAGAGGGGGGGGGCGGGGCCGAACGCGCCGTCACTGCCGCCACCGCCGCCTCAAGAGGCCTCAAGAGGCGGCGGCGGTGGGCGTGACGAACCCGCGCAGCAGCTCCACGGGCAGCGGAAACACGATGGTGGAGTTGTGCTCCGCGGCGATGGCGTTCAGCGTCTGCAGGTAGCGCAGCTGCATCGCGTTCGGCGCCTCGGCGATCACCATCGCCGCCTCCTTCAGCGCCCGCGACGCGTCGCGCTCGCCCTCCGCCGCGATCACCTGTGCGTGGGGAAGGTCACGGGTGGGGTCACGAGTCACGGGGGCGAGGGCCACGTGGAGATCATGCGCTCGCTGGGTCACGCGGGTTGCGGAGGGGTGGGGGTGGAGGGCGCGGCAACGTGGCAGGCGTTGATTTATTGTCCCGAGCCCTGCTGGGGTATTGCGGCGGTGACGCGCTGAACAGTTGGACCCGAAGAGTGACCAACGTGGAAGTGAGAAAGCAAGAAAAAGGTTGCGTATAGAAGAAGACCCCGATTCAGCCAGTGGTGAGCAGGAAACCGGCACTATTTGGACACGTACGTAGGATGCGCAACAACAGCGACACTGAAGGTGTTGTCGTTGTTGTTGTTGTTTGGGAAAAATGGAAGGGAACGGAAATTGAGGAAGACTCGAACAGAGAATGGCTTGACGACGACAAAGAGATTGGTGCCAGAATGATGTGGCACTACTTGAGCACATTGGCACAAGACAGAGAGGAAAGTGGAAACAAATAACGAAATGTGCAGTGGACACTTATGGGCAATCTGCCCATGGATCGTGATGATGACGACACTGAACTTTACCGCAGGGTGCTGCATAATTATGATGATAGCGCGAGGCAAACTGAGAAATAAGTGCGGGTTTTGCGTTCGGAAAAGGTGTCAACCCTTGCGGGTAGGCCTAATGTGGCCGTGGGCCGTGTGAAGTAAAATCACCGGCCGAGGGTTCCCAAATCATCTGGCTATGGGTGCTGTGTCGATGCGGGGTCTAAAATGGGGGGGGTTCAAGGCCCCCCCCCCCCCCCGCCACCCCCCCCCCCACCACGTCGCGGAGTGGCGCATCACCTTGGCGCGTGCCTCCCTCGTCGCCTCGGCCTCGGCCGCCATGACACGCTGCATTTGCTGGGGCAGCTTGATGTCGGTGATCTCCACGCGCTCAACCTTGATGCCCCAAGAGTCCGTAGCGTCGTCCAGATTCATCTGCAGGGAGGAGAAGGGAGGCGCGGGGAGAGTGGAGATGTGAGCAGAGGGGAGGAGGCGCGGGGAGAGGGGGAGGGAGACGCGGGGAGATGTGTGGAGAGAGGAGACGCGGGGAGAGGGGAGACTGGTGGAGAGAGGAGACTGGTGGAGAGAGGCGACTGGTGGAGAGAGGAGACTAGTGGAGAGAGGAGACTGGTGGAGAGAGGAGACTGGTGGAGAGGGGAGATTGGTGGAGAGGGGAGACTGGTGGAGAGAGGCGACTGGTGGAGAGAGGCGACTGGTGGAGAGGGGAGACTGGTGGAGAGGGGAGACTGGTGGAGAGGGGAGACTGGTGGAGAGAGGAGACTGGTGGAGAGGGGAGACTGGTGGAGAGAGGAGATTGGTGGAGAGAGGAGACTGGTGGAGAGGGGAGATTGGTGGAGAGGGGAGACTGGTGGAGAGAGGCGACTGGTGGAGAGAGGTGACTGGTGGAGAGAGGAGACTGGTGGAGAGAGGCGACTGGTGGAGAAGGGAGACTGGTGGAGAGGTGAGACTGGTGGAGAGAGGAGACTGGTGGAGAGAGGAGACTGGTGGAGAGAGGAGATGTGTGGAGAGAGGAGACAGGTGGAGAGAGAGGACTGGTGGAGAGAGGAGACTGGTGGAGAGAGGAGACTGGTGGAGAGAGGAGACTGGTGGAGAGGGGAGACTGGTGGGGAGGGGAGACTGGTGGAGAGGGGAGACTGGTGGAGAGGGGAGATTGGTGGAGAGAGGAGACTGGTGGAGAGGGGAGACTGGTGGAGAGAGGTGACTGGTGGAGAGGGGAGACTGGTGGAGAGAGGACTGGTGGAGAGGGGAGACTGGTGGAGAGGGGAGACTGGTGGAGAGGGGAGACTGGTGGAGAGAGGAGACTGGTGGAGAGGGGAGACTGGTGGAGAGAGGAGATTGGTGGAGAGAGGAGACTGGTGGAGAGGGGAGATTGGTGGAGAGGGGAGACTGGTGGAGAGAGGCGACTGGTGGAGAGAGGTGACTGGTGGAGAGAGGAGACTGGTGGAGAGAGGCGACTGGTGGAGAAGGGAGACTGGTGGAGAGGTGAGACTGGTGGAGAGAGGAGACTGGTGGAGAGAGGAGACTGGTGGAGAGAGGAGATGTGTGGAGAGAGGAGACAGGTGGAGAGAGAGGACTGGTGGAGAGAGGAGACTGGTGGAGAGAGGAGACTGGTGGAGAGAGGAGACTGGTGGAGAGGGGAGACTGGTGGGGAGGGGAGACTGGTGGAGAGGGGAGACTGGTGGAGAGGGGAGATTGGTGGAGAGAGGAGACTGGTGGAGAGGGGAGACTGGTGGAGAGAGGTGACTGGTGGAGAGGGGAGACTGGTGGAGAGAGGACTGGTGGAGAGAGGAGACTGGTGGAGAGAGGAGACTGGTGGGGAGGGGAGACTGGTGGAGAGGGGAGACTGGTGGAGAGAGGAGACTGGTGGAGAGAGGAGACTGGTGGAGAGAGGAGACTGGTGGAGAGAGGAGACTGGTGGAGAGAGGAGACTGGTGGAGAGAGGAGATTGGTGGAGAGGGGAGACTGGTGGAGAGAGGAGATTGGTGGAGAGAGGAGACTGGTGGAGAGAGGAGACTGGTGGAGAGAGGAGACTGGTGGGGAGGGGAGACAGGTGGAGAGAGGAGACGCGGGTAGAGGGGAGACGCGAGGTGTACGGTGAGCGTACCAGCGTGGCGAGTGCACGACGGGTCTTAACGGGTAGCTCACCTGCATGGCGTGCGCGAGCTCGGAGCGGTCGGACAGGATCTCGGCGAGCGTGCGCGTGCCCAGCGCATTGCGCAGCGTGGTCTGCGCGAGGGTGCGCGTCGCGCCGTGCGCGTCCGACACGTTGGCCACCGACATGATGGCGTCAGCCACGCGGTAGTACACCACGCCGTCCACCGCCACCGTCACCGAGTCCTTTGTCAGGATCTGCCGGGGGGAGGGGAGGGCGGGGGTTGGGGGGGGTTCATCCGTCACCCGGCCCGTCGGTGCAGCGTGCAGGGGGTGGCAACCCGGCGTGGCGGCGGCAAAGTACTCCGAAGAGGCATTTTAATCTTATTCGGTAAGAAAACAAAAAAAACCTCAATATTTCAAGGGGAAAACCGGAAGACCCGGAGAAAAATACACGTGATGACCAGCAAGTATCGTCAAGCTCAGGATCGAACCCACGAGCTCCTGTATACCGGGCGAGGTCGTTAACATCTCGTCAACGCGGCGCCCCAAACTTGCAATGCTTCAGTTTAACAAGCAAATGATCAAAGTCGTGACCTTTACAGTGACAAACGTGAATTTTGAGTTGCACCCCTACTGCGCACGGTGGAAAGCGTGGGGCGTGTTTTCGCCAATGCCAGTTATATTGTGGGGAGTTTTTTTGCTTTGTTATTTTTTGTTTTAAGCTATTGGAGGCAACTGTAGAACGCAGAGAACACATCCAAACTCCACACAAGCAGCTGCCCAAGTCGCAAAATTAAACCCCCCGGTCCTTCGTGTGCTGCGAGGCATACGAGTTTATCCACCCCTGCGCCGCACCGGGAAATTATTTTAAGTGACCCGTGCACCCAGGAGGGGTTGGCGGATGAATTGACACGGAGCAGAACGGATTCTTGAGTGAGAATGGACACTGCCCAGATATGTTACCACACCAAGGCTGTACTGAATGTGTGTTTGTGTTAATTGCACACAAAGTGAGAATGGACACTGCCCGGATATTTTACCACACCAAGGCTGTACTGAATGTGTGTTTGTGTTCATTGCACACAAAGTGAGAATGGACACTGCCCGGATATTTTACCACACCAAGGCTGTATTGAATGTGTGTTTGTGTTCATTGCACACAAAGTGCTTCTCACAAGTGAACCACAAGACCTCGCTGATCTCGCAGCGGCTTTTGGCTAGCCACCGAACAAAGACGTTCACCACATCGCGCGCTTTCAGATGCGCCTCTGCGGCCATCCCGAACGCTCTGCCTTCCGATGTTAGGAAGTCACCTGCGCGAACCACTTTTAAGCCTCAAATAAAAGCGAATTTACGTAGGACTGCTTTTTGCGCTTCGCTTTGTGTCCTTCACCCGCACCTCCGACTAGCGCGGTTGGCTACGTACGGCGCGAAAAAAGTTCAACAGGGTTTGAATTTCATTTTTGTAGAACTGAGAGATCAGCGTAAAGCCTTACTTGCCACGGTGACCTGGGTAAAATAACGCCGCTGTGGACGTGCGAAGCGTGGGGAACCACTTGCCACCGTGGAAGTGAGCCAGTTCCTGCGTGACCAACGCAATTACCTGAGGCCCAACTCCCAGTCACTCATTCGCGTACCTCCTGGGGCGGGATGTCAAACGTGATGGTTCTCATATCGATCCGTATAAACGTATCCGTGCAGGGAACCACCCAGAAGAGCCCTGCACACACAAAGACAAAGGTCCCCCCGTATAGCCTGTGACAGACTGTTGGGGCAAGTGCTGTTAGCGAGCAGCGCCTGTGAAGGCCGGCACGGCACACGAGGAGGTTGGGTGGCCAGCAGAACGCCGGGCAAGCCTTTGTATCCCTCAGCGGCGATGTTTACTACACACCGCACCAGGTACTCGATTGAGGCCGAGTCGACCTAGGGGAGGCCCAGGACCGGTTCAGATATTCGTCACTGGTGTTGGTAGCCATGAGCGGGGGGGCCGGGTTTGTAGCGCAGCGCGCTAACCGCTACACAACACACACACACATGGACAAGCTCCCTCATTTAGCCCTCAAGGGACTGTTGGGGAAATTGCGCTTATGAAGGCCTCTACGGCGCCGGTGAATCCGAATCAGAAACTTCATTCACACTGAAAGAATCCGATGAGCTATGGAGGCTCTTTTTCACATACATTTTCTTCATACAGTTTACAATGGAACTGCTCCCCCCATATACACACACACCACTCAACTTACATGAACGCAATTTGTTTCCGTCAGCGTGCGTTTCCCTCCGGTCTGTGCCCTGCGAGTGTGCTGTGCATTTGTACGTTTAAACAAAAATACCGCTTTGGAATAAAATAATAGCGCAAGAGACGGAGGACACCCCTGTCACATGCCATGGTGAGCAGGTTTTGGCTCACTCAGCCACGCAACTTTAGCATGCCCACCATCACGAAGGTCCTTTAAAGACGAGCGAAAGGTCAGGGACCCCCGAAAGCATGAAGAATAACCCAGAGCCCTGGTCAACTTATGTTATCATAGATAGGCCTTGACCACGTCAACAAAGCAGAGATATGTGCCCTGTTGCAGCAGTCGTGGTGGTGAGCGTGGTCCGAGAAGGACGTGGTGGTGAGCGTGGTGCGAGAAGAACGTGGTGGTGAGCGCGGTAAGAAGACGTAGTGGTGAGCGTGGTGAGAGAGCGTGGTGGTGAGCGTGGTGGTGAGCGTGGTGGTGAGTGTGGTAAGAGAGCGTGGTGGTGGTGGACATGGTGGTGAGCGTGGTGGTGAGTGTGGTGGTGAGTGTGGTAAGAGGGCATGGTGGTGGTGGTGGTGGTGGACGTGGTGGTGAGCGCGGTGGTGAGCGCGGTAAGAGGACATGGTGGTGAGAGGACGTGGTGGTGAGAGGACGTGGTGGTTAGCGTGGTGAGAGGACGTGGTGGTGGTGGTGAGCGCGGTGAGAAGGCGGTGGCGAGCGCGGTGAAAGGACACTGGCAGCGAGTGCGGTGAGTGCGGCGAGTGCGGTGAGTGCGGTGAGTACGGCGAGTGCGGTGAGTGCGGCGCTCACCGGGGCCGCGGGCCCGTCCCGGCAGGATGCGTCCCAGGCGGAAGATGACAGCGCGCTCGTACTGCTGCACGATCTACAGGGCAGGGGGGCGCGGAGTCGGGGCAGGGGCGGTGCCGCGGAAGGAGGCTCGTGAAGGACGCTGCTGCTACTGGGCAGAGGAGCGACGCTCACAGCAGCAAGCTGAGCAGCCAGGTGGCTAAAACGCGGTGGGCCGGCACAGTAGGGGGCACAGCCGGTGCGTCCGCCAGTCGTCTCACGTCAACCCACGGCACCTGGGTGTGTCCCTTGACCTCCCGTCAGCGAGCCCTCGACAACTTCACGTGGCCCCAGCTGCCACTGCTATTCGGTGGCCTAAAATATGGCTCTAGATTTTTTGGTGTTATAATTTATTTACGTAGTTTACTGTTAAAACGTCGGTCACAGTCCCTATGATCACTGTTACATTGCATTTATGGATTTTATTTTGGTGATTTCAAAAACGTTTTTTTTGGGGTTTTGGCCATGTTTTTGTTTATTGTAGCATGGAGTTAGACTGATGGCCTTAATCTTAGTTATCTTGTGGTTGTTGTTGTTGTTGTTTGACTTGCATCCCACTGGGAGTTTTGCACACAGCGTTGGTGTACGGTGCTATTTCAGGAATATTTTGATGTTTTTTTTTTTCCCTGGAATTTCTGTTTGCACAGTCAACACAAAGTCACTTTAAGATGTTTTTCTTGTTCGTGTTTTTTTTGTTTGTTGCGGTTGCACCCGATTCAAGAGCCGAATGGCTCACAACAGGGCTATAACCAAAATAAATGAAACTATGGAACTATGGCCTCGAGGTATATCTGGCCTGGAACGGGCGCTGTGGTGGTGATGCCACTGTCGCTTAGTGGTGGCTATTGGCATTTGGCAGTCATGGGCAGCAGCAAGTTGGCATGAGTCGCCCCGCTCTTGGGCGGCCCTCAACTGCGCGGCCCTCATTTCATTCAGGCGAGACGGGGGGGGGCGGGGGGGCGGATGCCCAAATTTGCTGCTATCCCACATCTACCCCTCCACGGAAAATAACCAGTGTAAATGAAAAGTATATATATTTATTGTTTTTTACACATCTTATCAGCCACGTGACAGGCCTGCCTGGCGGTGCATAATGTCAGCAGCATTGGCTCAACACGAGCAACAACAAAAAAACACTCTGGACAGGTTTTGAAACTCGGTGTCTCATCGGCAGCGTGAGGCTCGCTTGAACCAATGCTTCGTGAATTGTGAAGTTGTTCATAGGCAAGGACTGGCTGCGACATTCAGTGTTTTATCGGCAGCGTGAGGCTCGCTTGAACCAATGCTTCGTGAATTGTAAAGATGTTCATAGGCAAGGACTGGCTGCTCTCTGGTTCTTTCGGTAAAGTCACGTTGGTATAAAATTTTAAAAAAACACGACGTTTCGATTGCAACACTAGCAATCATCATCAGGTGGGAAAACCACAGCAGGAATTGTTTTTGTTGTTGTTGTTGCTGAAGTGGGAGAGAGATGCCGTGGTAAGAGGTTATATAGGTCAGAGAGGGGGGAGGAGCAAGGAGGGGGGTAGGGGGAGGGGGAGCATTGCGTGGACGCTGGGGGAGGGACGTGAAGCTGGACGGGGGGGGGGAGTGGGCGGGGCTAGAAGTGGGCGGGGCTAGAAGTGGGCGGGGCTGAGGGAGCTGGGAATGCGGGGGGGGGGATAGACTAGTGCCCGGCAAATATCACTGCACCTGATATGAGCTAAGTGATGACGTCACCCTGCTGCTGCTCTATATAAAACCGGGAGCAAGCGAGGGCTTTACCATTCTGGCGAATTGCCCGATGATGCTGGAAGTATTTACCAGCAAAACGTCGTACTCAAACTGTAAATGTGGATTCACTCTTCAACACACCGGTGGGCTAAAGTAGTGAATTATTTGTCTTTTGTCAACGTGACACTTTTTTTTGCTGATTGGCCGTGTCGGGTGGTGGAGGGTTACGACACATTTATAAATAAACGCGATCTAACCCAAAAACCTTTATTATAAATAATATTGGTCGCGAAAGCCTACGTGTTAAAATAAACAGTTAAGGTTTAACCTGGTTAATAACATCCTTCCTACCCCCCCCCCCCCCCCCCTCTCTCTCCCCCGTCTCCTACCTATATAACCTCTTGCCACGGCATCTCTCTCCCACTACAGAAAAAAAAAGAAATCTTGCTGTGGGTTTTCCCACCTGATGATGATTGCTTGTGTTGCAATCGAAACGTCGTGATTTATTTTAATTTTATTTTCTACCTTACGTGACTTTACCGAAAGAACCAAAAAGAGTGTGGATTCCTGCAGTCACGAAAGCTTCAAATCAAGATTCAGTGTCTTGATTTGGCCTTTTCAAAGGTCTGTTTTATGTGGGGCTTGAAAGTCAGGCTTCTACCCACGAGTGTGCTTGTTACAAATGAACCACAATACCTTGCTGATCTCGTCAAGGACCATGAACCGTCACACAAAACTCCGGTCATCCTCGCGAACCGTCGAACAAAGACGGTCACCGCATCGCGCGCTTTCAGATGCACTTCTGCGGCCTTTTGGAACGCTCTCCCATCCTATATTAGGAAGCCACTGGAACTATGCACTTTTAAATTTAAATAGAAAATTCGTTTCTTTAGGACCGCTTTTGGTGCTTAGTTTGTTGTCCTTCCCCGGCACCTCCGATGAGGACGGTTGGCTACGTACGGTGCGAAAGAAGTTCAACATACAGTACATTACAGTGTGTACAGTGCCGGATTAAGCTAGTGCGGGGCCTGTAGCATGGTGTTATAAAGGGGCCCTAAATAAAAAAAATATATTAAAACATACATTTTTCACTTGCATAGTAAAGTAATTGATTTTTTTCTTCATTTGCTATACAGCCAGATAATACGACACAAATCGCTTACCTTAAACACCCAGTCGTTCGTAAAAGTTGAAGGCGGTATAGTACTATAGTAATAGAGCAAGTGCAGAATCACTGAACCGGAATTGATAGCTTGAAAGTATTTAGCACGGGGCCCTTGAAAGTGCGGGGCCCATAGCATATGTAGTTACTTGTGTAGCTACTACACATGTAGCTACTACATATGTAGTTACTTGTGTAGCTACTACACATGTAGCTACTACATATGTAGTTACTTGTGTAGCTACTACATATGTAGTTACTTGTGTAGCTACTGCATATGTAGTTACTTGTGTAGCTACTACATATGTAGTTACTACATATGTAGTTACTTGTGTAGCTACTACATATGTAATTACTTGTGTAGCTACTACACATGTAGTTACTACATATGTAGTTACTTGTGTAGCTACTACATATGTAGCTACTTGTGTATCTACAACATATGTAGCTACTTGTGTATCTACTACATATGTAGTTACTACATATGTAGTTACTTGTGTAGCTACTACACATGTAGCTACTACATATGTAGTTACTTGTGTAGCTACTACATATGTAGTTACTTGTGTAGCTACTACATATGTAGTTACTACATATGTAGTTACTTGTGTAGCTACTACATATGTAGCTACTTGTGTATCTACTACATATGTAGCTACTTGTGTATCTACTACATATGTAGTTACTTGTGTAGCTACTACATATGTAGTTACTACATATGTAGTTACTTGTGTAGCTACTACATATGTAGCTACTTGTGTATCTACTACATATGTAGTTACTTGTGTATCTACTACATATGTAGTTACTTGTGTAGCTACTACATATGTAGTTACTACATATGTAGTTACTTGTGTAGCTACTACATATGTAGCTACTTGTGTAGCTACTACATATGTAGTTACTACATATGTAGTTACTTGTGTATCTACTACATATGTAGTTACTTGTGTAGCTACTACATATGTAGTTACTTGTGTAGCTACTACATATGTAGTTACTTGTGTATCTACTACATATGTAGCTACTACATATGTAGTTACTTGTGTAGCTACTACACATGTAGCTACTACACATGTAGCTACTACACATGTAGCTACTACACATGTAGTTACTTGTGTAGCTACTACATATGTGGCTACTTGTGTATCTACTACATATGTAGCTACTTGTGCTACTAGGATAATCCGGCACTGAGCGTATACAAGGTGGGAGGAAACTGGAGTACTCAGAAAACACCCACGCATGCAATAGGAGAGAGCTCAACACACTCTGGGGCGTTCGTGGTAGTTCACGCAGGCCCGTGAGGTTGTCCAATCAGATCCCATTGCAGCTGCCCCGAGTGGGCAAAGGGGATGGCGACGTCAAATCAGATCGCAGGGCAGAGGTCACGAAAACTGCTCCCAGACTTAATGGCGGCTTCATTGTCGAGTCGCATCTGGACACGGTGTGATGGCGTGTGTCGTGTGTCGTACTGTTGTGATGTCACGGTGTGATGGCGTGTGTCGTGTGTTGTGATGTCACGGTGTGATGGCGTGTGTCGTGTGTTGTGATGTCACGGTGTGATGGCGTGTGTCGTGTGTTGTGATGTCACGGTGCGATGGCGTGTCGTGTGTCGTGATGTCACGGTGCGATGTCATGTTGTGATGTCACGGTGTGATGGCATGTGTCGTGTGTTGTGATGTCACGGTGAGACGGCGTGTGTCGTGTGTTGTGATGTCACGGTGAGATGTCGTGTGTTGTGTGTTGTGATGTCACGGTGAGATGTCGTGTGTTGTGATGTCACGGTGTGATGGCGTGTCGTACTGTTGTGATGTCACGGTGAGATGTCGTGTGTTGTGATGTCACGGTGCGATGTCGTATGTCGTGTGTTGTGATGTCACGGTGCGATGTCGTGTGTCGTGTGTTGTGATGTCATGGTGAGATGTCGTGTGTTGTGATGTCACGGTGCGATGTCGTATGTCGTGTGTTGTGATGTCACGGTGCGATGGCGTGTGTCGTGTGTTGTGATGTCACGGTGCGATGTCGTGTGTCGTGTGTTGTGATGTCATGGTGTGATAGCGTGTGTCGTGTGTTGTGATGTCACGGTGTGATGGCGTATGTCGTGTTATTGTGATGTCATGGTGTGATGGCATGTGTCGTGTGTTGTGATGTCATGGTGTGATGGCATGTGTCGTGTGTTGTGATGTCATGGTGTGTGTCGTGTGTCGTGATGTCACGGTGAGATGTCGTGTGTCGTGTGTTGTGATGTCACGGTGCGATGGCGTGTGTCGTGTGTCGTGATGTCACGGTGAGATGTCGTGTGTCGTGTGTTGTGATGTCACGGTGTGATGGCGTGTGTCGTACTGTTGTGATGTCACGGTGCGATGTCGTGTGTCATACTGTTGTGATGTCACGGTGTGATGGCGTGTGTCGTACTGTTGTGATGTCACGGTGTGATGGCGTGTGTCGTACTGTTGTGATGTCACAGTGCGATGGCGTGTGTCGTACTGTTGTGATGTCACGGTGCGATGGCGAGATGGGAAGACGGCACAATGCTGTGTCCGCATGGCGTGGAGCCCATCAGTGCTAACCAAACGCGACGCTCTTAATTGCCCAGAGCGAGATCTCCATCGGCCAGTCACATTCCCCTTCAACGTTGCCGCATCCGCTCATGGTTTGATGCGTCGCTGGTGACGCCTGCCAGATACAGTTGCCCTGGATCTGGCCAGGTTCATCAGCACCCCGAAAGAGGACGAGCGAGTGACCGTGGGGCACGGCGGTCAGGCAGGTGAGAAGCGGGGGGGGGTGGGGTGGATTGGTAGCCCAACCTTTATGCTGCAGAAGATGGAGAGCGGCAGGGTGAGGATGACGAGCAGGAGGGAGAAGGCGGCCAGGAGACACTCACAGCAGCCGGCTCTGCCCTGCTCGCTCCCTGCACGAAACGGACAACGGAGGTCGTGGGTTCGATCCCGAACCTCAAGTTTTCAGTTTCATTTTCAGTTGCATTTATTTGGGAAAAGCCCCGTGAGCCATTCGGCTCTTGAATCGGGTGCAACCGCAACAAGCTAAAAAAAAACATGAACAAGAAAAACGTCTTAAAGTGACTACGCGCAAAACAGAAAAATCCAGGAAAAAAACAGCAAAAATCTTGCAGAAAAAGCGCCGTACACCAACGCTGTGTGAAAAAATCCCAGTGGGATGCAAGTCAAACAACAACAACAACCACAAAACAACTTAGATTAAAGCCATCAGTTGAACTCCGTACTACAACAAACAAACATGGCCAAACCAAAAACCTTTTCGAAATCACCAAAATAAAGCCATAAAAGCAATGGAACAACAGTGATCATAGGAACTGTGACCGAAATTTCACAATAAACGACATAAACAACATGTAACACCAAACCCTGTAGCCATAGCTGGCTGCATGAGTCACTCCACAACAGCAGAAGCATCAGTCGGAGTATCAAAATTTTTCAATGCACCTTTAAATATCAGCACACTAAATCTAAATACAGATCATACTTTGCAGCGGTCATCCGGAGCGAAACATTTTATTTTATTTTAGGCCACTGAATAGCATTGGCAGCTAGGGGTGTACAACTCCTCTAGAGCAGTTTTGAGTGAAGATCTCATAGGTAGCATTCCAGACCCTGGGGGTATTAATAGCAAAGGCCCTTCCCTCCAGAATTTGTACAGCAATAAGGAATATGAAGCTGGTAAATGAGCGAAGACCTTAGGTCACATTTGTTCTGCTGTATATTTGGAGTCTGCGTGTCTCTCTCATCATCATCACGGTGGCTAGGAGATGTTAACTACCTCGCCTGGTGTACAGGAGGTCGTGGGTTCGATCCCAACCCTGACGCCTGCTGTATATTTGGAGTTTGCGTCTCTCTCTCTCTCTCATCATCATCACGGTGGCTAGGAGATGTTAACTACCTCGCCTGGTATGCAGGTGGTCGCGGATTCGATCCCGAACCTGACGCTTGCTAATGCAGTAAAACCTTGGATTGCGAGTAACTTGGTCTGCGAGTGTTTTGCAAGATGAGCAAAATTTTGTAATAGATTTTAACTTGATAAACGAGCGAGGTCTTGTAATACGAGTAGTACGTGTACGCTTTGTACTGCCGAGCGTCACGTGATCACAACTGAGCCAATGGTTCTTCTCTCTCTCTCTGCAGGATTGTGGGTAATCGTCTCCCATGCTCGGTCTGTCGGCGTGCCTCACTCGTATAGTCAACATCCGTGCGAGCGTTTACTGTTTACTATAGTACTATAGTGTTGTGACCACGTGTATACTGTTTACTATAGTGTTGTGACCACGTGTATACTGTTTACTACAGTACTATAGTGTTGTGACCACGTGTATACTGTTTACTACAGTACTATAGTGTTGTGACCACGTGTATACTGGTTACTACAGTACTATAGTGTTGTGACCACGTGTATACTGTTTACTACAGTACTATAGTGTTGTGACCACGTGTATACTGTTTACTATAGTACTATAGTGTTGTGACCACGTGTATACTGTTTACTATAGTACTATAGTGTTGTGACCACGTGTATACTGTTTACTACAGTACTATAGTGTTGTGACCACGTGTATACTGTTTACTATAGTACTATAGTGTTGTGACCACGTGTATACTGTTTACTACAGTACTATAGTGTTGTGACCACGTGTATACTGTTTACTACAGTACTATAGTGTTGTGACCACGTGTATACTATTTACTATAGTACTATAGTGTTGTGACCACGTGTATACTGTTTACTATAGTACTATAGTGTTGTGACCACGTGTATACTGTTTACTACAGTACTATAGTGTTGTGACCACGTGTGTACTGTTTACTACAGTACTATAGTGTTGTGACCACGTGTGTACTGTTTACTACAGTACTATAGTGTTGTGACCACGTGTATACTGTTTACTATAGTACTATAGTGTTGTGACCACGTGTATACTGTTTACTATAGTACTATAGTGTTGTGACCACGTGTATACTGTTTACTATAGTACTATAGTGTTGTGACCACGTGTGTACTGTTTACTACAGTACTATAGTGTTGTGACCACGTGTATACTGTTTATTAAAATACTATATTGTTGTGACCACGTGTATACTGTTTACTACAGTACTATAGTGTTGTGACCACGTGTATACTGTTTACTACAGTATAGTGTTGTGACCACGTGTATACTATTTACTATAGTGTTGTGACCACGTGTATACTGTTTACTACAGTACTATAGTGTTGTGACCACGTGTATACTGTTTACTATAGTACTATCGTGTTGTGACCACGTGTATACTGTTTACTATAGTACTATAGTATTGTGACCACGTGTGTACTGTTTACTATAGTGTTGTGACCACGTGTATACTCTTTACTATAGTACTATAGTGTTGTGACCACGTGTATACTGTTTACTACAGTATAGTGTTGTGACCACGTGTATACTGTTTACTACAGTACTATAGTGTTGTGACCACGTGCGTACTGTTTACTATAGTGTTGTGACCACGTGTATACTGTTTACTACAGTGTAGTGTTGTGACCATGTACATACTGTTTACTACAGTACTATAGTGTTGTGACCACGTGTATACTGTTTACTACAGTGTTTTGACCACGTGTATACTGTTTACTACAGTATAGTGTTGTGACCATGTGTATACTGTTTACTACAGTACTATAGTGTTGTGACCACGTGTATAGTGTTTACTACAGTACTATAGTGTTGTGACCACGTGTATACTGTTTACTACAGTATAGTGTTGTGACCATGTGTATACTGTTTACTACAGTACTATAGTGTTGTGACCACGTGTATACTGTTTACTGCAGTGTTTTGACCACGTGTATACTGTTTACTACAGTATAGTGTTGTGACCATGTGTATACTGTTTACTACAGTACTATAGTGTTGTGACCACGTGTATAGTGTTTACTACAGTACTATAGTGTTTACTACAGTACTATAGTGTTGTGACCACGTGTATACTGTTTACTACAGTACTGTAGTGTTGTGACCACGTGTATACTGTTTACTACAGTACTATAGTGTTGTGACCACGTGTATACTGTTTACTATAGTACTGTAGTGTTGTGACCACGTGTATACTGTTTACTACAGTACTATAGTGTTGTGACCACGTGTATACTGTTTACTATAGTACTATAGTGTTGTGACCACGTGTATACTGTTTACTACAGTACTATAGTGTTGTGACCACGTGTATACTGTTTACTACAGTACTATATTGTTGTGACCACGTCTATGTTTACTACAGTACTATAGTGTTGTGACCACGTGTTTACTGTTTACTATAGTACTACAGTGTTGTGACCACGTGTATACTGTTTACTATAGTGTTGTGACCACGTGTATACTGTTTACTACAGTACTATCGTGTTGTGACCACGTGTATACTGTTTACTATAGTACTATAGTGTTGTGACCACGTGTATACTGTTTACTACAGTACTATAGTGTTGTGACCACGTGTATACTGTTTACTACAGTACTATAGTGTTGTGACCACGTTTATACTGTTTACTACAGTACTATAGTGTTGTGACCACGTGTATACTGTTTACTACAGTGTTGTGACCACGTGTATACTGTTTACTACAGTACTATAGTCTTGTGGCCACGTGTATACTGTTTACTACAGTGTTGTGACCACGTGTATACTGTTTACTACAGTGTTGTGACCACGTGTGTGTGTGTGCGTAAAGCATGTTTTTTTATTTTGTGTCCAATTGTAGTGACTGTTCTTTAGTAACTGTGCCGCAACAATGGCACCCGTGAATGAGGCTGTAGCAGTGCGAGCGATGAATCTGTTTTAACTACAATGCAATGTTACAATTTCCGCGAAATCCTCAAAAGGAGGCGAAAGGCGAGCGTCATAGGGACGGGTTCCTTGTTAAAGTCGCACAAAAATAAAAATAAAATATTCCAGTGAGCCAACAGATGGATGGCAGTGATTCCGTTAGTGACAGTGAAAGTCGCCCTACACGATAACCCTCCTCTCTCTCTTCACACCAGCCACGATTAAATGTAATTAATAAATTTGATTAGTTTATATTGAGTTTAAATAATTAAAAAATATATATTTAAAGAAGGTATTTTGTATTAATCATTTTTACATGAAAATTTTTTGGGTTCTGGAACGAATCATCTGAGTTTCCGTTATTTCTTATGGGGACATTCGCTTTGATATACGAGTGCTTTGGATTACGAGCACGTTTCCGGAACAAATTATGCTCGCAATCCAAGGTTTTACTGTAAATGTGGAGTCTGCGTGTCTCTCTCTCTCACTCATCATCATCACGGTGGCTAGGAGATGTTAACTACCTCGCCTGGTATACAGGAGGTCGTGGGTTCCATCCCGACCCTGACGCCTGCTGCTGTATATTTGAAGTAACGGGTGAGGTAACGGATGAGAGTAACGGGTGAGGTAACAGCTGAGAGTAACGGGTGAGGTAACGGGTGAGATTAACGGCTGAGAATAACGGGTGAGAGTAACGGGTGAGAGTAACGGGTGAGAGTAACGGGCGAGGTAACGGGTGAGGTGACAGCTGAGAGTAACAGCTAAGGGTAATGGGTGAGGGTAACGGGTGAGGGTAACGGGTGAGATTACGGGTGAGGTAACGGGTGAGAGTAACTGGTGAGGTAACGGGTGAGAGTAACGGGTGAGGGTAACGGGTGATAGTAACGGGTGAGGGTAACGGGTGCGGTAATGGATGAGAGTAACGGGTGAGGGTAACGGGTGAGGGTAACGGGTGAGGTTACGGGTGAGGTAACGGATGAGAGTAACGGGTGAGGGTAACGGGTGAGGTTACGGATGAGAGTAACGGGTGAGAGTAACAGCTGAGGGTAACGGGTGAGAGTAACGGGTGAGAGTAACAGGTGAGAGTAACGGGTGAGGTTACGGGTGAGGGTAACGGGTGAGGTAACGGGTTAGAGTAACGGGTGAGAGTAACGGGTGAGAGTAACGGCTGAGAGTAACGGGTGAGGTTACGGGTGAGGTAACGGGTGAGAGTAACGGGTCAGGTAACGGGTGAGGTAACGGGTGAGGTAACGGGTGAGGTAACGGGTGAGGTAACGGGTGAGGTAACGGGTGAAGGTAACGAGTGAGAGTAACGGCTGAGGTAACGGGTCAGGTAACGGGTGAGAGTAACGGGTGAGGTAACGGGTGAGAGTAACGGGTGAGGTAACGGGTGAAGGTAACGAGTGAGAGTAACGGCTGAGAGTAACGGGTCAGGTAAGGGGGTCATCCATTGAGTCCTCACGCAAAAATCAGTCAACACGTGACCCCCCCCCCCCCCGAATCCTATAGAACGGCCAATATTTAATCCACGCAGAAACCATCAATGGCTAATAATATTAACGTGTTTAAGCAAACAGATAGTCCACCGCCGGACTATCGAACTCATCTGAAGGCCGATGTAGACAAATTATTATCGAGGCTTCACCCCTCCCACCCACCCCGTTTCCTATGCGTACGGACTATATGGATGGCCCCTTTAGGGCGTGTACTAAATGTATGTGTACTAAATGGATGTGTACTAAATGGATGTGTACTAAATGGATGGCCCCTTTAGGGCACGTACTAAATGGATGCCTCTTTAGGGCACGTACTAAATGGATGCGTACTAAATGGATGGCCCCTTTAGGGCACGTACTAAATGGATGTGTACTAGATGGATGTGTACTAAATGGATGCCCCCTTAGGGCACGTACTAAATGGATGTGTACTAAATGGATGCCCCCTTAGGGCACGTACTAAATGGATGTGTACTAAATGGATGTGTACTAAATGGATGCCCCCTTAGGGCACGTACTAAATGGGTGGCCCCTTTAGGGTACGTACTAAATGGATGTGTACTAAATGGATGCGTACTAAATGGATGCCCCCTTAGGGCACGTACTAAATGGATGGCCCCTTTAGGGTACGTACTAAATGGATGTGTACTAAATGGATGCGTACTAAATGGATGCCCCCTTAGGGCACGTACTAAATGGATGGCCCCTTTAGGGCACGTACTAAATGGATGTGTACTAAATGGATGTGTACTAAATGGATGTGTACTAAATGAATGGCCCCTTTAGGGCACGTACTAAATGGATGTGTACTAAATGGATGCCCCCTTAGGGCACGTACTAAATGGATGGCCCCTTTAGGGTACGTACTAAATGGATGTGTACTAAATGGATGCGTACTAAATGGATGCCCCCTTAGGGCACGTACTAAATGGATGCCCCCCTCCCCCCCCCCTATGCAACAGGCGCCATTTATTGGCGGGAAACCGAGGGCGCCGTCCTCACGGCATCGCCGCGAAGCTCATCAACAGGCGGGAACGCTTCTTGTTAGCGAGCGCCTATTAAGGCCGGCACGGCACACGAGAGAGAGGGGGGGGCGTGGGTGAGTGGTTGGGTAGCAACCACTCCCGGCCGTCTTTGTCTCCCCTCAGCGGCGATGTTTACCGCGCACCGCGTTACGCCGGTTAGCGCGCGGCAGCGCGAATTGCAACAAAGACAAAGGTAAAGAATCCCTCGCGTAGCGTGTAACAGGCTGTGAGGGGGGGCAAGTGCTGTTAGCGAGCGCCTATTAAGGCAGGCACGGCACACGAGAGGGGGGTCGGTGGCCAACACCACGCCCGGCCGTCTTTGTCTCTCCTCAGCGGCGATGTTTACCGCACACCGAGGTTACACCGTTTGAGGCCGAGTCGACCTAGGGGAGACCCGGGACCGGTTCTGACAATCGTCACCGGTGGTGGTGGTGGCCGTGAGCGGGAATCGAACTCGGGTCGCCGGGTTCGTAGCGCAGCAGCGTGGCGCTAACCGCTGTCCCACCGCTCGCTCACCGCAAACACGCAACGCGATAAGGCGCGCACACAATTATACTAATACATAACAATACATTATACTAACACATAACACAATACATTATACTAACACATAATACATTATACTAACACAACACAATACATTATACTAACATAACACTACATTATACTAACACATAACAAAATACATTATACTAACACATAATACATTATACTAACACATAACACAATACATTATACTTATACATTATAATACATTATACTAACACATTATAATACATTATACTAACACATAACAATACATTATACTAACATTATACCACAATACATTATACTAACACATTATAACAATACATTATACTAACACATTATAACAATACATTATACTAACACATTATAACAATACATTATACTAACACAATACATTATACTAACACATAACAATACATTATACTAACACATTATACCACAATACATTTACTAACATTATAACACAATACATTATACTAACACATAACACAATACATTATACTAACACATAAAAATGCATTATACTAACACATAACACAATACATTATACTAACACATTATAGCACAATATATTATACTGACACATTATAACAATGCATTATACTGACACATAACACAATGCATTATACTAACACATAACAATACATTATACTAGCACATACTAACACACAATTATACTAACAATAAAACATTACACAATACAATTACAATAACACACTATACTAACACATAACAGATACAATAACACACTAATGCACACTAACACAATACGCTTACACGCAATACAACACAAACACACTACAATACAACAATAATAGTACACACACTACAACAATAATAGTACACACACTACAATAACACAACAGTAATAGTACACACTAACACAATGCACAAACACACGCACAGAGCCACATATTGTGGCCACAGCAACAGGCTCTGTATTGACAATGGATCTTTAACACCCACATTAAATCTACCCTATGAGCAGAGAATGCAACAGATGATCAACCATAACCACAACTAACCACAACATCACATACCTGTCAAACCCTTAGCAGTGCCCCTTACATTATTACAGACCTTATAGGTCACCCCGTGCCCCTTATAAATCGCGACGTTCATCCTACTAAAGTCCCATCACAAGCAGAGAAACACAAACCATTGTGTTTGGTGCCCGTATTCAAACGGCTCTGGACCTGAAAACTCAATATCCCTGCACAAGAACACGTGGGGTAACCCCGTGATGGATTGACACACATCCAACATTAACCACCGCAACATTAACCGCAACATTAACCACCGCCACATTAACCACCAAAACGTTAACCACAACATTGACCACAACATTAACCACCGCCACATTAACCACCACAACATTAACCACAACATTGACCACAAAATTAACCACAACATTAACCACCATAACATTAACCACAACATTAACCACCGCAACATTAACCACAACATTAACCACCGCAACATTAACCACCACCACATTAACCACAACCGCGCGGCTGGGATAAAGCCTCACAATCTCTTGTGAGCGTGGGTCGATAAATGACGGTGTTGCAATGAGAACGGCGCGATCGAGTGGTGATGATGGTGATGATGGTGGTGGTGGTGATGATGGTGGTGGTGATGATGGTGATGGTGGTGGTGATGATGGTGGTGGTGATGATGATGGTGGTGGTGGTGATGATGATGGTGGTGATGATGATGGTGGTGGTGGTGATGATGATGGTGGTGATGATGGTGATGATGATGGTGGTGACGATGGTGATGATGGTGGTGGTGATGATGGTGGTGGTGATGATGGTGGTGATGATGGTGGTGGTGATGATGATGGTGGTGTTGATGGTGGTGGTGATGATGATGATGGTGGTGGTGATGATGATGGTGGTGATGATGATGATGGTGGTGATGATGATGGTGATGATGATGATGGTGGTGACGATGGTGATGATGGTGGTGATGATGTTGGTGATGATGGTGGTGATGATGGTGATGATGGTGGTGATGATGTTGGTGATGATGGTGGTGATGATGATAATGATGATGTTGGTGATGATGATGGTGGTGATGACGGTGATGATGTTGGTGATGATGATGGTGATGATGGTGGTGATGATGGTGATGATGACGGTGATGATGTTGGTGATGACGGTGATGTTGGTGATGATGGTGGTGATGATGGTGATGATGATGATGGTGATGATGATGATGGTGATGCTTCACCACCACCACCTCCTCCCTCCCATCTCTCACCGCCCTCTCCCTTGCCGCTATCTCGCTCGGGCTCTGTGCTCAGCGGCATCGCCTCGACAGCAGCGTGTGGAGCAGCCATAATCCCGTGGTGTTCGTCTTTTTCCCTCTCTCTCTCTCCGCTCTCCCTCCTCCTCCTCCTGCTGCTCACTCGTGCACCACCCCTCCCCGCCGAACTCTCTCACCACTCACACGCGTTGGTTCCGTACAGTGCGATGGGGTTGGTGGTTGCTGGTGGTGGGGTTTGGTTTGGTGGTGGTGGTGGGAGCCACTCCTTGCCACACGATCCCTGTTATATCACTGCCACTATCGTCATCGCCGTCTCATCACGCGACGCTCATCCTCAACAGCTGGGTTGCTCAGACATCGAACCAAAAGGCGTTGGTCGCCGCTGCATCGCGCGGCGCTTTCAAGACGCGCTGCTTCTGCGGCGGCCGTCTGGAACGCTCTTCCCTGCCGATGTTAGGAAGCCCTCCGGGAGCTGCGTACTTTTTAAATCATCGTCGTCTAGATTGACAAACTCATTTCTTTAGAACTGCCTTTGTGTGTGTGTATATATTCTTGGTTCTTTCGGTAAAGTCACGTAGAAGGGAAACAATAAAATAATAAAAATATTTAAAAAACAATACAATTCTCGAGAAAATGTTCTTGCTGTGGTTTTCACAGCTGATGATGATTGCTTGTGTTGCAGTCGAAACGTCGTGATAATTTTATTGTTTTATATTTTTTTATTGTTTCCCTTCTACGTGGTGACTTTACCGAAAGAACCAAGAATATGAATCCCTGCAGTCACGAAAGCTTTAAATCAAAATTTTCCTTTGTGTGTGTTTAGTTGTCCTTCCCGCACCTCCCCATTAGCACGGTTGGCTACGTACGGTGCAAAAGAAGTTCGACACACAAAGGCGCATCGCCACCTCCTGCTGCTGCTGCTGGGTGGTGGAGATCCTCTGGGAATGATGGGACCTCGTGATCATGATGATAATGGGACCTGGTGATCATGATGATAATTAAATCTCGTGATTATTATTAAAATGGGACCTCGTGATCATGATGATAATGGGGCATCGCGATAATGATGATAATGGGGCATCGTGATCATGATGATAATGGGATATCATGATAATGGGGCATCGTGATCATGATGATAATGGGATCTCATGATCATGATAATGGGACCTCGTGATTATGATAATCGGATCTCGTGATCATGATGATAATGGGACCTCGTGATCATGATAATAATGGGACCTCGTGATCATGATGATAACGGGACCTCGTGATCACGATGATAACGGGACCTCGTGATCATGATGATCCGACCTCGTGTGAGAATTGTGACGTAAACATTTTTTGTTTTACCAGGTAATGCTGACTGAGCTATTAGCTTTTTTCAGAAGCCACCTGGCCACAAGTGATAGTTAAACTGAGTGGCTTGTCATCGTGTGGAAAATGTAGAGCAGGAGCCAAATATTCTAAACGCACGTTTATAAATGTGGAGGGAAAAACCGGATGACCCGGAAAAAAAATCACACCACCACAGGTATAGCGCACACTTGCAATCACCAAATATACCAAATATACAGCAGCAGGCGTTAGGGTCAGGATCTAACCCACGACCTCCTGTATACCAGGCGAGGTAGTTAACTTCTTACCACCGTGGCGGCCTATGATGACATGTGAGGGTGATGATGATGATGGGACCTCGTGATGTACATACATGTATTGTATGTTGACCTTTTGCACAATACGTAGCCAACCGTGCTCATCGGAGGTTATGATGATTAGACCTCATGATCATGATGCGTATCTTTGGTTGTGTAAGGAACTTCAATGAGGTCTTCATTGAAGAGTGCCTCGTGTGGACTCCCTTTGACGAGTAAGCGTCATCGGTCGATATTCCCAAATTCATCAGACGATTTTTGGAAATGATGCTGGATGTAATTACCAGCGAAACGTCACCGTACGCTCAATTTGTAAATGTTGTGGGTTTACTTTCCAACACACCGGTGGGCTAAAGTAGTAACTAATAGTCAAACTACATGGTACATAGTCTCGGTTGCATCGCCACAGTCGCACCACTACTTACTGTGGCTTGCGCCTTTACATTTTCGGAATAAATTCCGTGGAGGCAAGTATCACAAAATAACTAACATGACTGCACAGTCGGCATTCATGAAGTCTTCCAAGTGAGCTCTGCACAAACTCAGGGTGACTCGAGGTGTCGAGAATTGTGCCGTGCTTGTGCACAACTGCAAATGCAGATTGTTGAGCGAGCAGTTGTGTGGTTTTGTACGGACCACACAGCGGCTGCAGAAATATAGAGATGCAATCTGGTGGTGTCTGAGAGGCTATTACTGTGTAACTGTCCCCACAAAACCAACATTCCCTCCCCCAACCTACACGCTGACGTCAATCCCTGCAACCACGTGACCGGCAGTAACCACCACGGCGTTGACGATTCGTGATTGGAGCCTGCAGATGAGGAGACGTGGTCTGGGATGTGACGACGTGTGCGATTGGTGGCTGGGAATGAGGTGACGATGAGGGGAGGGAGGAGGGAATGGGAGACGGGGAACCGTGGGTACAAGCAGGGACGTCAGATTAGGGACGACAGGAGAGAGCTGTGGATAGAGAGGAGAGAGCTGTGGATGAAGGAGGGAGCTGTGGATAGAGAGGAGAGAGCTGTGGATGAAGAAGGGGGCTGTGGATGAAGGAGGGAGCTGTGGATGAAGGAGAGAGCTGTAGATAGAGAGGAGAGAGCTGTGGATGAAGGAGGGAGCTGTAGATTAAGGAGGGAGCTGTGGATAGAAGAGAGAGCTCTGGATAGAGAGGAGAGAGCTGTGGATGGAGGAGGGAGCTGTGGATAGAAGAGAAAGCTCTGGATAGAGAGGAGAGAGCTGTGGATGGAGGAGGGAGCTGTGGATGAAGGAAGGAGCTGTGGATAGAGAGGAGAGAGCTGTGGATGGAGGAGGGATCTGTGGATGAAGGAGGGAGCTGTGGATAGAGAGGAGAGAGCTGTGGATGGAGGAGGGAGCTGTGGATGAAGGAGGGAGCTGTGGATAGAAGAGAGCTGTGGATGAAGGAGGGAGGTGTAGATAGAGAGGAGAGAGCTGTGGATGGAGGAGGGAGCTGTGGATAGAGAGGAGCAAGCGGTGATAGGGAGGAGGGAGCTTTGGATAGAGAGGAGAGAGCTGTGGATGAAGGAGGGAGCTGTGTGCGATGGAGGTGGAATACACAGACTGGAACACTTAACCTGTCGATGCGGGTTGGTGAGGAGGGTGTCCACTATAACTGTCTATGTTGTGTGTCTCTCTCTGTGTGTCTCTGCATTGTCTCTCTGCTTGTGTGTCTGTGTGTCTCGGTGTCTGTGTTTTGTCTCTCAAATTTAGTTCTACCTGATGATGACTGCTTGCATTGCAATCGAAACGTCGTATTCCATTCAATTTATTTTCTTTCTACGTGACTTTACCGAAATAGCCAAAGAGTAATTCCTGCAGTCACGAAAGCTTCAAATCAAGTTTATTACCAATGTTGGTGTTTTGCTCATGATATATATTGTCCCTGTGTTTCCTTTTTTTTTGGAACGTATTAAGAAAGAAGGGGTGGGGGGAATGATTGCGGATCTAAACGGAGGCAAAGGGCTTTCAGTGGGGAAAAAAGTATTTGATCCCCTACTGATTTTGTACGTTTGCCCACTGACAAAGAAATGATCAGTCTATCATTTTAATGGTAGGCTTATTTGAACAGTGAGAGACAGAATAACAACAACAAAATCCAGAAAATCGCATGTCAAATATATTATAAATTGATTTGCATTTTAATGAGGGAAATACGTATTTGACCCCCTCTCAATCAGAAAGATTTCTGGCTCCCAGGTGTCTTTTATACAGGTAACGAGCTGAGATTAGGAGCACACTCTTAAAGGGAGTGCTCCTAATATCAGCTTGTTACCTGTATAAAAGACACCTGTCCACAGAAGCAATCAATCAATCAGATTCCAAACTCTCCACCATGGCCAAAACCAAACAGCTCTCCAAGGATGTCAGGGACAAGATTGTAGACCTACATAAGGCTGGAATGGGCTACAAGACCATTGCCAAGCAGCTTGGTGAGAAGGTGACAACAGTTGGTGCGATTATTCGCAAATGGAAGAAACACAAAACAACGGTCAATCTCCCTCGGCCTGGGGCTCCATGCAAGATCTCACCTCGTGGAGTTGCAATGATCATGAGAACGGTGAGGAATCAGCCCAGAACTACACGGGAGGATCTTGTCAATGATCTCAAGGCAGCTGGGACCATAGTCACCAAGAAAACAATTGGTAACACTACGCAGTGAAGGACTGAAATCCTGCAGCGCCCGCAAGGTCCCCCTGCTCAAGAAAGCACATATACATGCCCGTCTGAAGTTTGCCAATGAACATCTGAATGATTCAGAGGACAACTGGAGGAAAGTCAGATGAGACCAAAATGAAGCTCTTTGGCATCAACTCAACTCGCCGTGTTTGGAGGAGAAGGAATGCTGCCTATGACCCCAAGAACACCATCCCCACCGTCAAACATGGAGGTGGAAACATTATGCTTGGGGGGTGTTTTTCTGCTAAGGGGACAGGACAACTTCACCGCATCAAAGGGACGATGGACGGGGCCATGCACCGTCAAATCTTGGGTGAGAATCTCCTTCCCTCAGCCAGGGCATTGAAAATGGGTCGTGGATGGGTATTCCAGCATGACAATGACCCAACACACACGGCCAAGGCAACAAAGGAGTGGCTCAAGAAGAAGCACATTAAGGTCCTGGAGTGGCCTAGCCAGTCTCCAGACCTTAATCCCATAGAAAATCTTTGGAGGGAGCTGAAGGTTCGAGTTGCCAAACGTCAGCCTCGAAACCTTAATGACTTGGAGAAGATCTACAAAGAGGAGTGCGACAAAATCCCTCCTGAGATTGTGTAAACCTGGTGGCCAACTACAAGAAACGTCTGACCTCTGTGATTGCCAACAAGGGTTTTGCCACTAAGTACTAAGTCATGTTTTGCAGAGGAGTCAAATACTTATTTCCCTCATTAAAATGCAAATCAACTTATAACATTTTTGACATGCGTTTTTTCTGGATTTGTGTTGTTGTTATTCTGTCTCTCACTGTTCAAATAAACCTACGATTAAAATTATAGACTGATCA